AAAAGCATAATTGGTCCAAAAACTGTGATAATTGTGAGTAAGCTCCTATTAGAATAGTCCAGATGTAGGCAACCTTGGCTCTTTTATGATTTCTGGACTTCAACTCCCAGAATTCCTGAGCCAGCCAGGCTGAGGGGAAAGGGAGAAGTTTCCAAGCTGAGCCATGCCGGCTCGGGAATTCTGGGAGTTGAAGTCCATGAGTCATAAAAGAGCCAAGGTTGCCTACCCCTGGTATAGTTTGTAAGTTTTTTTTAACACAGTACAGGTAGTCCTTAACTTATAACTCCAACTGAGCCCCAAATTTGTGTTGCTAAGTGAGTTTTGCCTCATTTTACAACCTTTCTAAGCGAGTCACTGCAGTTGTTAAGTTACAGGTAGTCCTCGATTTAAGACCACAATTGAGCCCAAAATTTATGTTGCTAAGCGAGACATTTGTTAAGTGAGCTTTGCCCCATTTTATGACCTTTCTTGCTACAGTTGCTAAATTAACTTAACAACAACTACAGTTGTTGAGTTAATAATACAGTCGTTAAGTGAATCTGGCTTCCCCCATTGACTTTGCTTGTTAGAAGGTTATAAAAGGGGACACACTGCAACCATCATAAATATGAATCAAGTTGCCAAGGTCTGCTGCCACGGTCGTTAAGTATAAAAATCAGCCCTAGATCACTTTTTTCAGTGCCGTTGTAGATATGAATGGTCACTAAGTGAACTGTTGTAAGTCGAGGACTATCTGTATGGTATTAGAATCCTGCATTCAGTTTGGCTGTGGCCCTGTTCCAGCTATTCAAGTTGCAGAGAAGCTGAAACAGAGAGGATGAATTTTGCACCCACTCACTGTGCAGAAGTGCGATGCCCGTCCAGCGTAGCACGTGAATCTGAGGAGCTGGCTGCGGAATTCCAAGCCTGAATCTTCGGCATCTTTTTAATCCCGTTGAAAAATGGGCCAAGGGTCTAACGCTGCCTCTTTTGACCTCTTCCCAGCTCTGCCTTGTAAGTCGACCCGCCTTACCAGCTCCCGCCGTGGGCATTGGTGTTCTGCATCAGCAACAGCAGCAAAATCTCCTTACCGAAACATTTGCTTGAAACTTAACCTGCAGTGGGACTTTTGGTGTTACAACGAGGCCAGGAAAACTAGAATCCAAAACTGGAAAGAATCTTTGCTCTTGAAGTATGCTGCTGAAATGAATTTGGCCTAACCAGAGTTAAAATGGAGTCTCCTATTCCTTTTCCTACAGATGTAAACAATTGCCTAAAATTCTGCCCATGCAAATTCATGGGATTTAAACGTGTTTACATTTCTCTGGTTCGCACCGTATAGGTGAGTGTGAGGAACAGACCAACATTTTAAATCACTTAATCAATGATTGTTATGGACGTTCTTAAATTGTATTACAATGCAGCAAGTGGGATCTCCTGCTTGCTTGCCTGTGGCATTACAAGTCAAACTGCAGGAGTTAGTATTTTCCATTAGTCATCATCACCATAAAAAAAAAAAAATCCCAGGATGACTTTCTTGATTTAAAGTAGTTTTTCTAAGACTGCAAAATAAAGTATTTATTACAGTTGATTTACTTTTTACAACAATGCTAGGTATTTGTAATGCATACTAAATCAGGAAAACTTTAAATATGGGGATTATTGTACATATAGCTTTTATTACTAAAACAAGTCCTGTTATATGTGTGCACTTTAACCATCTTCTAAAAGCTACGTAGGCCTACTTTATGAAAATAAAAAAATTTAAATCTGAGCTATGTCGTTTTGGATTCTAGACAGTGGAATAATGTTGCTAAACAATTCTCACCCCCCAAAAATACTTTTTTTGTGTACAGATTAAAGTCTTCTATAGATCTAAGTGCTATGTGCCAGCCTTAAATTTATTTTATTATATACTTACATATGAAGCCATACATTTTCCATCAATGATCCAAAAGCAGAAACGTTTTCAGCATTATCTTTGCTAATTCCTTAGATTTGAAATTGATTATGAAAGATTTTTTGGCCATCTAGTCAATGCTGAGTCTTATCAATCACATACCTAGATTATTATTTTTTTGAGAAGATTTGAGATAGAGGGAAAATAAATTGAAAACTGCAATTGTTGGATGAATTATAGCAGGTTCCATTCTCACATCTATAAATTGATATTCTGTATTATGAAATAATGGGGGTGTGAAATATCACATCTTGCTCTTTGATTTGATTTGCTTTGAATGTCTTAATTGCACTTTCTGTACCTGCAACCAAAATGTTCTAGGAACTGTGACACTGATTTCTTTTCAAGTCTTTTTACATTTCCAAAGTAACTTTTATAGCACTATCCAAATGCATTTTATGTTTCTTTATTGCCTTGAAAGATCTGATCCCGGAAATCCTTGTAACTTTACTAATTTGGGGCTGAAAGAACTTTCTCAAAGATGATTTAAGGTTGGATAAGAAGAAAGGGCCACCAGGGCAAAGAAAACTCTCTGCAGGGTAAAATGCGATTTGAACAGTGTTCTTGAATTGAAAATTGCCACCAAATCCAACTCCTGCTTAACAAAAAAAAAAAAAAGTTCCAAGTTAAAACATCCTTGACAAATGGCTCTATTTTCTGCTTGAAGAAAAACTAGCTTTACTGTTGGTGGTGTGACTATTTTTGAGAGGGAAGCAAAGAGATGGCCTTGAATATCAAGGTCACTGTAATAAAACTGAAATATCAAAGTTACCTGGAACCTTGAATCGTTCTCTTATTTTAATAATGAAAAGCTGGTTTTTTATGTCTGATAAGCAGAAAACCTGTCCTACAGCTGACTCTCTCTCTCTCTCTCTCTCTCTCTCTCTCTCCCTCTCTCTCTCTCTCTCTCTCTCCCTCTCTCTCTCTCTCTCTCTCTCTCTTTTTTTTTTTTTTTTTTGTCCCAGGCATAAAATATATGAGGCTAGGACTGTCTAAACACATATTGGAGGAAAACAAAATTTGCCAAGCTGGCATTATCTGTTTGTTTTCAAAACAGAAAGTCAGATTGATGGTCCCCTTCCTGAATTTATTTATTTACAACCTTCCACCCCCACCTTGCAAAAAAGCCAGAAGGCCATTTTTCTTCCCAGTTTTGCTGATTTATATTTCAGGCTCAGTTTTTTTCATCTTTCTGGATTCTTGCTTTAGTCACCAAGTTGTAAATACCAGGAAGGTTATAAATATCAAAGTTAAGGCAATGCCATTCTGCCTACTGAACTGGTAGCCGAGGGTAAAAAAGTTAATTTGCTAGGTAGTTTTGTTTTCTCGGACTCAGAAACAGCTGAAAGCCTTTTTTCTTTATAAATAAAGGAGGAGAAGTTTAATGCCACGGAGGAAGGTAGGGCCACCAGATCACAAAGACATTATAATTCAGAGCAGAACAGAGACTCTTTCTAGAGATACGTTTTATGTTACGCTTACAGTTTGCTTTTCAATTGGATGTAATGTGTTTCCCCTGGGTTTTGTTACTGTTGTTGTTTTTTTGCTATTTGTTTATATGCATTTTAAACTTTGTGAGCCACCCCCCAAGTGAGATGTATTGAATGAATGAATGAAACATAGCTGACAGTTGTATGCTGAGAAAATAAAATGACTGTAAAAACGGGATGCAATTGGGATGAAGAATTTGCAAACGGACAAGAAGACCCCAACCAAGACTCTCTTTGCAAATTTTTATTTTGAAAAAAGCGCATTCGATGCTGCACAAAACAGGGGTATCCTTGCTTCATCTGATGCAGCCAGTCCCGTTCCTTCCTCTCGTTCAACTGAAACATGAGGGACGGTTGCAGGAATTGGGTATGTCTAGTTTAAAAAAAAGAAGGACTAGGGGAGACAGGATAGCAGTGAAGGCAAATCTACTTGTCCGAGGATGAAGCTGCAGGATCCAATCTGGGTTGGTCACTTAGACCAGAGGTTTTGACTTATGAGCTTTTGGACTCGTGCTAGATACATGAGAGCAGTCTTCCAATATCTGAGGGGCTGCCACAAAGAGGACGGGAGTCCAGTTATTTTCCAAAGCACCAGAAGGCAGGACACGAAACAATGGATGGAAACTAATCAAGGAGAGAAGCAACCTGGGATTAAGGAGAAACTTCTTAATGGTGAAGCTTGCCTTCAGAAGTTGTGTGTATTGTGTGGTGGGTGCTTCATCACTGGAGGTTTTTAAGAAGAGATTGGACAGTCACTTGTCTGAAATAGTATGGGGTCCCCTGCTTGAGTGGAGGGCTGGACTAGAAGACCTCCAAGGTCCCTTCCAGATCTATTCTGATTGATCAATTGATCTTCCCTCCTTCAGAAAGACAATGTACTCCTTGCAACCTCCAAAGGGTCTGGACACCCCTTCTCATCATCCCTAGCCAGGCACAAGGTAGGTAGTCCTGGACGTACGACCACAGTTGAACCCCAAATTTGTATTGCTACGTGACACATTTGTTAAGTGAGTTTTGCCCCATTTTGCGACCTTTAATATCACAGTTGTTAAGTGAATCTCAGCAAGAGATAAGTTAGTCACGCAGTTGTTAAATGAATCTGGCTTCCCCCATTGACTTTGCTTATCAGGTTACAAAAGGGATCACGTGAGCAAAGGCTGCTGCAACCTGTCATAACTACGAATTTTGATCACATGACCATGGGAATGCCGCAAGGGTTGTGTGAAAAAACGGTCACATTTTTCAGTGCTGTCACTAAACAAACTGTTGCAAGTCGAGGACACCGGTACAGGCTGCCTGCTTGCAAAGGGCTTGCCTGCCCTTTGTAACTCTGAACTGGTCACTAAAGGAAATGTTGTAAACCGAGGACCGGCTGTACCCACCGCCCCCTTGCAAAAGGCTGGCGCGCGCCCTTCCTTTCCCCGGGAGAGGGGACCGCCCATCCAAAGCGGGAAGGAGGGGGGGTTGCATCGATGAGAAATCGCTCCCCCCCGCACTTGGGCCGCGTTGGTTCGGTCCAGCCGCCCTCTCTAGCGGGAGCGGAGTGGCGCGACCCTCCCCTGCTCGTCGCGCCGCGTAAGACGTCACTGGTCACGTGTGCGGAGGCCGGCAGCCTCCGCAGCGGCGAGGAGGCGGGGAAGGGGAGCCGCTGCTGCAGCCGCCGCCGCCGCCGCCTGCCAGCCCAAAGGCGCCGAGCCCGGTCGGGTCCGACCTCCGGCAGCATGGGGAGTGAGTGGAGGGGCCGGGCTGGGCGGAGGTCGCAGCATCGGGTCGCCCCCTCCTCATTATGGCCGGATTCCTCATGATATGGCCGCAGCCGAGGGTCTCCTCCGGCTGGAGCCCCCCCCCATGCAAGACCCCGTTCTCTCCGGGGGGAGGGAGGGAGGGGTGGGGGACCCCACGGGACGTTGCAGGGGTGGAATCGGGGGCTGCTTAAGGGAGGGAGGCGGCTGCCAAGCTAAAGCCCCCGCCCAGTGGCTCCTTAGCCCCTCCACCACCGCCCCAGGCATCCTGCAAGGGTGTTGCTGATATTTGCCCCGCTCCCCCAAACACACCCTCATCGGGGGGCTGCTTGGTGCCCCCTCCCCAAGGTACATTTGGGGGTTGCCCAAGTCCCTGGGATGGGCCCGGAGGGCTGGGCTGCCAGGCGCTTTAGGAGAAAGGAAGTGGCTCCCTTGCCCTCCCTCCCTCCTCCTTTCCAACCTTCCTTCCTCCCTTCTCCCTCCCTTATTTCCACCTCCCTTCCTTTCTCTTTCCTCCCTCCCTCCTTCCTTCTTTACAATCTTCTTCCTTCTTTCTTCCTCCCTCCCTTCCTTCCAGTCTTCCCTCCTTCCAATCTTCCCTCCCTTATTCCTTTCTCCTGTCTTCCACTCCTTCCTTCTTTCCTTCCTTCCTCCCTCCCTCCCTCCTTTACAATCTTCCTTCCTTCTTCCTTCCTCCCTCCTTCCAACTTCCTTCCCTCCCTCCTCCCTGCCACCTTCCTTTCAATCTTCCCTCCCTTATTCCTTTCTCCTGTCTTCCACTCCTTCCTTCTTTCCTTCCTTCCTCCCTCCCTCCCTCCTTTACAATCTTCCTTCCTTCTTCCTTCCTCCCTCCTTCCAACTTCCTTCCCTCCCTCCTCCCTGCCACCTTCCTTTCAATCTTCCCTCCCTTATTCCTTCCTTTCTCCTCCCTCCCTCCCTCCTTCCCTCCTTCCTTCCTTTCTTCTTTCCTTCCAATCTTCTCCCTTATTCCTTCCTCCCTTCCAACTTCCTTTCTCCCTCCCTCCCTCCCTCCCTCCCTCCCTCCAGCCTCCCTTCCTCTCTCCGACCAGGCCCAATATTAGGGTTATTGCCTCCAAAACCCATAGATCTTGTTGCTTGTTTGCCTTTCCCTCCTCTCCTACCTGCACATTAGGCTGCTTTCCGTGCTGTTGCTAGGCTCCGAGAGGAATGCAAAATAGGAAGAAGTAAAAACTGCTCTCTCATTGGCTCAGGTTCTGGGGATGGTAAACATGGCTGCACCAGGTGTCAAGTTTGAGAGAACTTTGTCAGTGAGAAATATGTCAGGTGTCTTGTATAGATTTCACAACTCATTGTAAAATATAAAATCAAATGATGGCACAGATTTGTATTTGCATGAGTGGTCTTTGGAAAGTATATCTCAGGGGACTTCAAACTTGGCCCTTTGATGTCTTGTGGACCAACTCCCAGAATTCCTCAGCCAGGCACACTGGCTGAGGAATTCGGGGAGTTGAAGTCCACAAATCATCAAAGGGCCAAGTTTGAAGACCCCCTGGTATATCTGCTTTTAAACATGAATTTGTTGCAGGATCTATCTAGAGATAATAGGTGCTTGTTAAATGCATGTCTGTGAAGGCCAGTTCAGCACTGGGAGATAAAATGGGGTCTTCTAGATTTAACTATAATACAATAAACTGCAACCAACAATCATGGATTCTAGGAGTGTTAATTTCCAGCCTTTGATGGGCCCCACAATTCTTAACAGAAAACAGTCTGTGTTTGTTTCATTTTTCCCCAAAGCTGAAATAAGGTTAGGAAAACTTTGCTTTTTCGTAAGCCTAACAATAAGATTGCACTTACGTATTTGTTACTTAAAGCTAACATACTTTGGCTCATAAGCTTTCATGAATCACAATCCATGCAACTATATGTAACTGTTCTGGTGAGAGGAACAATTTGTTTAGAAATTTATACAGATAGTCTTCGACTTACAACGGTCTGTTTAGTGACTGAAATTACAATGACAAAAGTGAAAAAAGTGACAACCATTTTTCACACTTATGACCCCTGCATCCTCCCTACGATCCCATGATCTATATTCAGACGTTTGACAACTGATTCATATTTACGATGGTGGCAATGTCCCGCCATCATGGGTTCCCCTTTGGCGTCCTTATGACAAGCAAAGTCAAGCGGGAAGCCAAATTCACTTAACAACCGGGTGACTACCTTAACAGCCATAGTGAAAAACTCACTTAACAAATTTCTCAACTTAGCAACATTAATTTTGGGCTCAGTTATGGTCGTAAGTTGTGGACTATATTAATCACATCTTCGCCTCTTCTTTTTGTGTCAGGCTGAGAAGCTTGAAAATGTTGGGAGATGATTTAGTGAATAATAGAGATTCTCTCTATAGGTGGTCCTCAACTTATAACTACATGTTTAGTGACTGTTCAAAGTTACAATGGCACTGAAAAAAAGTGAGTTATGACACTTACGACCACTGCAGCATCCCCATGGTCACGTGATCAAGATTTGTATGATTTGCAACTGGCATGTATTTATGACGGTTGCGGTGTGTCCCGGCGGTCACGTGATCCCCTTTTGCGACCGTCTGGCAAGCAAAGTCAACGGGGGAAGCCAGATTCACTTCACAACCCTGTGACTCCCTTAACAACTGCAGTGATTCACTTAACAACTGGCAAGAAGGGTCATAAAATGGAGCAAAACTATCTTAACAACTGCCTTGCTTAGCGAGAGATTTTGTGGTCGTATGTCGAGGACTATCCGTGAGATATAAAACCGTTCTTCCAAATCGTGTCCAAAATTGATGCGGTCCTGTTCTGTGCCTTAGGCATTAAAGCGAGACAAATATTTATAGGCAGTTTAAGGTTCGGTACTTTTATTCTCGTTTTTTATGATCGCTGTAAAGTGCTTGTGTGTCTTTGTTTCTTGAACAGTCAAATTTCTGGAGCTCATTAAGCCCTTCTGCGCTGTTTTGCCCGAAATCCAGAAGCCTGAAAGGAAAGTAAGTGCCCTTTTTGTTTTTGCTCCTGCCACTTTCACGGGAAGGCATTTTAAGCCTAAATTTCTCTAGGAAGTCAGTTTGTGGAAAAAGGAGACACGGGGAAATTTGCGTAGTATCTGCAATTTTCAAATATCAGAATGACATTATGGACATTTAGATACATAGCGTTAAGTATCTCTGAAAGCAAATTCTGCTGATTTGGCTGGGACTTATTTCCGAGTCTGTGTGCTGGACGAAGTACAGTAGTGGCCAAAATTGTGGAAACCTTTTGGGAAAAGTGTACAGTAGAAATGCCACCTTTGGTTAAGTTTCCACCCATTTTTCTTCTAATTTCTTTATAACTGTAGCCTTGTTCACTTAATAAATACTATTTTACATTGCTTTCTGGGCGACCAGTCAACTCTTTGTACCATGACTTTAATTTTATTATGTTTTACAAGCTCACTAAATGAAAGAACACAAAAAACACAACCAACTTGATAGCCATCACATAACACACTGACACATGTCCTCCTCTCAGCTTCAATACATGACATCGATAACTGAATCCTGCTGTGATCTGATTGGCTCCTTGCCAAAACAAGATGACACCTGATTGGCTCTCTAAGCACTCACGCTCATTGGCTACAGTCAGATGAAGGAAAGCTACCTGATGTCAACCTAAGCAAGTTGTGCTTCCTTTTTCTAGTTATTTGGCTATAACGTTTCATAGAATACAGATAATTGAACAAACTTTGTTGCATTACATTCTTGATTAAATTATCTTTCTATTGATATATAATTTTATGGTACTATTCCCCCCAAAAGTGGTGTTATTAGCCATCAAACCTCAAAAATACACTTTTCCCAAAAGGTTTCCACAATTTTGGCCACTACTGTATTTCCCTTTAGTCATGCATGGAAGTAGACTGAAGATTTAGCCAGCAGCAAGACTGGGAAGCTCTTAATATTTTCTTTTGAAACCTTAATGTTCTCTGAACCCGGTTGTATTCTTGCAGGTCTTTCATTACCAAACTAAAGTAAGGTCATCAGTGCAAAAGGGAGTCAGGTTTGCACTATTGGTGATGAGCAAGCCCAAATAAGAGCAAAACCCATTCTCTTCTAGCACTGATGATGGTACCTAGTTGGGTAATGAAAGGTCTTACTCTTTGAAAGCTATTGGTTCTCTATACTATATCTCAAGGGTCCCCAACCTATGGGCCGTGGCCCGCTACTGGGCCGGCCTGCTACTGGGCCGTGGGTTCTTGACCAGCAGGCCGCAGAAATGTCTGGCCAGGGCGTGCATGCATGGGTGTGCATTCCCCCCCCTACTCGCGCTAGTGCCCACGGCCCTGTTTGCACATACGTGCGAGCGGGAACACTACCGCGAGATTAGCATGCACGCCCCGTTTGTGCATGCACAAATGGGCCACTAGCACGAAGGGGGTGTGCGCGGCCCATTTGTGCATGCGTGAATGGATTGTTAGTACATGGGTGCTAGCGGGCGCTAGCCACTGCGGGGATGTGGCCATTCGCGCATGCGCATGGCACCAGCGCATGGTGCATGCCCAAACAACCACTAGAACTGCGCCGGTGGGCATGGCCCCGTTTGTGTGCGTGCACACGCGGTAATTTGAAAGCTGCTCTCCCCTCCGGGTCGCGAGCCTGGAAAGATTGGAGAAGATTGTATCTGATAATTCCGTATAATTAAGTACAAGTTTATTTTATGAATATTATAACATTGGTTTGTGGGTTTGTTTTTTTTTAATCTTGCTCTCCTAAACATTCTCTGTTGGTTAACTTGGTTTTATTCGTTGTGCTTTACAGATTCAGTTTAGAGAGAAGGTTTTATGGACAGCTATAACCCTCTTCATTTTTTTAGTCTGCTGCCAGGTAAGAATTATTGGGCAAGATTCTTTTATTTGTTCACCTTCTGTCAGAGGAGCCTACGGTTGCTTTTAGGTAATCAGTAGGATTGTAGATGCTGCTGCAGAAGCCCTTTGACCTTAATGGTTCTTTCTGCTGTTTTTAAGTTGGGCCTAATGTCGAAAGACACATCCCGTATGCTGCCAGGTAAGAATCGACTTCATTATTGGGCAAGATTCTTTTATTTGTTCACCTTCTGACAGAGCAGCCTATGGATGCCTATAGGTCAGGGGTAGGCAACCTTGACTCTTTTATGACTCGTGGACTTCAACTCCCAGAATTCCTGAGCCAGCATGGCTCAGCTTAGAATCTCTCCCTTTCCCCTCAGCACGGCTGGCTCAGGAATTCTGGGAGTTGAAGTCCACGAGTCATAAAGCGGATTAGGCCTAGGGCAGGGTAGGCAACCTTGGCTCTTTTAGGACTCCTGGACTTCCACTCCCAGAATTCCTGAGCCAGCCGTGCTGAGGGGAAAGGGAGAGGTTTCCAAGCTGAGCCATGCTGGCTCAGGAATTCTGGGAGTTGAAGTCCACAAGTCATATCCCTGCTTTAGGTAATTAGTAGGATTGTAGATTCTGCTCTAGAAGACCTTAATGGTTCTTTCTGCTGTTTTTAAGGTAAAAGAAGTGGGGCCTAATGTTGAAAGACACATCCCGTCTAATTCCAATTTAGGGAGGCTTAGTGCTTTAAGGTTAAGAACATTCTGTTCGTTTTTGCAGCCTGTATTTCTTCTCTGCTGTTGTCCCAAAGCTGCTTTTTTTCCCAAGAGGCGACTGGACTTTCTTGTTTTTCTTCAAAGACGTTTCGCTTCTCATTCAAGAAGCTTCTTCAGCTCTGACAGAAGTGAGCTGAAGAGAGAACTGAAGAAGCTTCTTGGATGAGAAGCGAAACGCCTTCGAAGAAAAACAAGGAAGTCCAGTTGCCTCTTGGAAAAGCTCCATCGCTGGAGGTTTTCAAGAGACTGGACAATCACTTGTCTGAAATGGTTTAGGGCAGGGATAGGCAACCTCAGCTCTTTTATGATTCGTGGACTTCAACTCCCAGAATTCCTGAGACAGCATGGCTCAGCTTGGAAACCTCTCTCTTTCCCCTCAGCGTGGCTGGCTCAGGGAATTCTGGGAGTTGAAGTCCACGAGTCATAAAGCAGCCTAGGCCAGTGGTAGGCAACCTTGGCTCTTTTATGACTTGTGGACTTCAACTCCCAGAATTCCTGAGCCACCATGGCTCAGCTTGGAAACCTCTCCCTTTCCCCTCAGCATGGCTGGCTCAGGAATTCTGGGAGTTGAAGTCCATGAGTCATAAAAGAGCCAAGGTTGCCTACCCCTGGTTTAGGGTCTCCTGCTTGCTGCTGTTGGTGTACAGGTAGTTCTTGACTTACAACCGTCCATTTAGTGACCGTTTGAATTTACAACATCGCTGAAACAGTTGATTTATGACTGTTTTTCCACCCTTATAACTGTTACAGCCTCCCTGTGATCAAAATTCATACACTTGGCAACTGACTCAAATTTACGACGGCTGCAGCGTCCCGGGATTACGTGATCCTCTTTTGCGACTTTCTGACCAGCAAAGTCAACAGGGGAAGCCAGATCCACTTAACAGCCGTGTTACTAATTTAACAAGCACTGTGATTCACTTAACTGTTGTGGCAAGAAAAGCCGCAAAAGGGAGCAAAACTCACTTAACCAATGTCCCACTTAACAACTGAAAATTTGGGCTCAGTTGCGGTCATAATTCAAGGACTACCTGTATTTTTTGCAAAGTTGCATTGAAATGCTAGCACGGTTTATTGCACATAGATGTTTTTCAGTAATGAAATCATTACTGTGGCTCAGAATGAAATATTAATGTTAACTTTGGTGAGCTGAAAGAGATACTGACTGTTCCAGATATTTGGCACTGTTCGACAGTTTTCATAATGAACGCTAACTTGAAAAAAGACATTATGATGTATGAAGGATTATGGCATTGATTTAAAAGTAATGTAGGGCTTTAAAAAAAAATCTCAGAGAATGTTTTAGAATATAACCTTCTCTGCTCTGGAGGTTCTTACTACATTTATTGTTGTTGTTAGTTGCGAAGTCATGTCTGATCCATCGCGACCCCATGGACAACGTTCCTCCAGGCCTTCCTGTCCTCTACCATCTTCTGGAGTCCATTTAAGCTCACGCCTACTGCTTCAGTGACTCCATCCAGCCACCTCATTCTCTGTCGTCCCCTTTTCTCTTGCCCTCCATCTTTCCCAGCATTGGGCTCTTCTCCAGTGAGTCCTTCCTTCTCATTAGGTGGCCAAAGTACTTGAGTTTCAACTTCAGGATCTGGCCTTCTAAAGAGCAGTCGGGGTTGATCTCCTCTAGGACTGACGGTTGGATCGCCTTGCAGTCCAGGGGATTCGCAGGAGTCTTCTCCAGCACCAGAGTTCAAAGGCCTCCATTCTTTGGCGCTCAGCCTTTCTTATGGTCCAGCTTTCACAGCCATACATTGCAACTGGGAAAACCATGGCCTTGGCTATACATACTTTTGTTGATAGCATGTCAAACACTCATGTTTTCAAGCAGTTGGCAGGTCTGTGTGAACCATGGAAGTAAATAAAATACAGATATATCCAGTTGCTTAACAACAGTTCAAAATTACAGTTGCCAGCAAAAAATACCCATCGGGAAGAATGTATCTGTTTAACAACCACGTGGTTTGTGTAACCACTGTGATTTGCATAAACGCTGCTGTGAAAGCAGTTGTAAAATTGAATCTGCAATTTTTGACGGAGACTGTTCAAGGGAGTGTATGGTCAATTCAGGTAGTCCTTGACTCAATGACGCCAAAGACAAATTACGACTGAAATTCTGGGCTCCTTTGGTGTCAAGGACTATCTTACACACCCTCCATCAGAAATGGTGTGGACCTTTTTTGTCTAAAAGGAGTCAGTATTTGTATGCACCTTTCTGAAAAATTACTTTTGTCTTCTGTTTTTAGTCATGCTTAATACTGTTATGACTCTTGTAGATTCCATTATTCGGAATAATGTCCTCGGACTCCGCAGATCCCTTCTACTGGATGAGAGTCATCCTTGCATCGAACAGAGGTTGGTGGGCTTCACTCCTGTTCTCCTCTGCCACCGTCTCCTTTGCCTACCAAATATGATAGGAAGCCAGCTTAGATATCTGAAGGTTGGGGAAACCCTCATTTGCCCTTAGGTTCTCCAGTGTATTGGAGCCTGCCTTAGATTTTAGGTCAGCGATGGCGAACCTTTTAGAGACCGAGTGCCCAGAATGCAACCCAAAACAAAGGCAGCCATTCGTGTTGAGGATTGAGTTTCTGTGGACTGCATTTGTTTGCCTTGGACATTGACTCAGGTCGGAGAGAATAAAAGGGGTTGTTTTTTTCTTGGGATTCCTGCCTGTTCCTTGGAAAAGGGGGTTTCTCCTTGTGAGCATAACAAGGACTTACGTAGGCTGGGACAGAATATAAAGATCCGTTTTCTTCTTTGTCTTCCTTCCCTTCTTCTTCTCCAGGCACTTTAATGGAATTGGGTATCTCTCCTATTGTGACTTCGGGCCTCATTATGCAACTCCTGGCTGGAGCCAAAATCATTGAAGTGGGCGATACGCCGAAAGACCGGGCCCTGTTCAACGGTGCTCAGAAGTGTGAGCATTAATTTCACTTCCTTAATAGAACTTTCATTTTTTTCCCCCTTGGGGAAAATGCAGCAGTTAGCTACTTAATGCCTGTATGATTTTAGTAAGGGGGGATGATTGGTGCTCTCTGAGCTGGGTGGTTTTCTTGCAGACATCTCATGATCCAACTATGTAACGTCTTCAGTGTTAGAAGGGAGAAGGGTTTGCTCTCTGTTGATATGCAATGTAACACCACTCCTTTCTAGCACTGAAGACGTTACCTAGTTGGGTCATGAAAGGTCTGCAAGAAAACACCAAGCTGAGAGATCACTAAGAATCTTACCATCCACCACCTCCTTCTCCTGCTCCGCTCTGCAAACACCATTCTCTTCTAGCAGTGATGATGTTACCTAGTTGGGTCTTCAAACGTCTGCAAGAAAACCACCCAGCTCAGAGAGGACCAAGGACATCCTTCTCCCCCTCCTCTTCCTCCACCTCCACCACCAGCTCCTCCACTCCACAAGTCCCCCGCCCTTCTAGAACTGACGATTTTACTTAGTTGGATAATAAAATGTCTGCAAGAAAACCACCATGGATCCCACAATCCCTTCTCCTCTGCAAACTCCATTCCCTTCTAGCACTCATGAATTTACCTAGTTGGGTGATGAAATGTCTGCAAGAAACCCACCAAACTCAGCACCAAGGACCTCCTCCTCCACCACCACTACCTCCTCATCCCTTTCTCCTCCTTTACTCCACAAAGCCCACTCCCTTCTAGCACTGATGTTGTTAGCTAGTTGGGTCATGAAACGTCTGCAAGGACACCAAGCTCAAAGAGCACCAAGGATCCCCCAATCCTCCTCTTCCTCCTCCTCCTCCTCCCCCCCCTCCTCCTCCCTTTCTCCTCCTCTCCACAAACCCAACTCCCTTCTAGCACTGATGATGTTACCTAGTTGGGCCATAAAACATCTGCAAGGAAACCACCAAGCTCAAAGAGCACCAAGGATCCCCCAATCCTCCTCCTCCTCCTCCCTTTTTCCACAAACCCAAATCCCTTCTAGCACTGATGATGTTACTTAGTTGGGTCATGAAATGTCCGCAAGAAACCCACCAAGCTCAGAGAGCACCCAGGACTCCACACAGACCAATCTTGAGCTACAGATATTCTCTTCTATGTGTACATGATTGCTTGTTGTCTCGTTTCAGTGTTCGGAATGATAATTACTATTGGGCAGGCTATCGTATATGTCATGACGGGGATGTACGGGGATCCTTCCGAGATGGGGGCGGGAATCTGTCTTCTGATTATAATCCAGGTATGTTCTTAAATGACATAAATAGCGCTACATTTTTCATTGCTGGCCCTTGTTTGTGTGGCTTCCAATGTGTACGCGGGCTGAGGAGGCCGGGAGGGTCTAATGCAGCGGTTCTCAACCTGTGGGTCGGGACCCCATTTGGGGTCAAATGACCATTTCACGGGGGTCACCAAACAACGCAGTCCGCCATTTTTCCCCCCTTTTCCTTAGCTGTGCTACTCCCTTTTATTCTCTTGGCTTTTGAAAGCCAATAGAATCGACTCTCTTGAATAGAGTCTAATTCTATTGGCTTTCAAAAGCCAATAGGAATTGTCCAGGCTGTCTCTGCCCTGCTGAGCCCGCCAAAAGTCCCATTCTGCACCAGTTGAGTAGTCCTCGACTTACGACCAGTTGAGTAGTCCTCGACTTACGACCGGTTGGGGGTCGCGGCATTAAAAAGGTTGAGAACCACTGGTCTAATGCCATATATGGCAAATCAGACAATTTGAAAGCGACAGTTACATATTGCAAGGCCTACCATGTCCTCATGTATGGAAGGCTTAACTATTTTTTGAGGGCTTGTCGACCCTTCAGGGCAGGGGCCTCCAACCTTGGTCACTTTACCACTTGTGGACTTCAACTCCCAGAATTCCTCAGCCAGCATGGCTGAGTTGAAGTTCCACAAATCGTAAAGTGACCAAGGTTGGAGGCCCCTTGCTTTAAAAGGAGACATTCCTTCCTCGCAGAAAGCTTCAATGAAACGAAGGCGTCGTGGGTTCTTCTGTTTTCTTGGCGATGAGTTCAAGTTAGTTTCATGCAGCGATGGACGCCTTCTGTCGGTGTGGGTGTCGAGCGAAGATAAGCAATAATGGCCTGTAATTTCCCATGTTCCACTAAAACGGGCCTTCAAACAAGGCCCTTTTCTGACTTGTGGACTTCAACTCCCAGAATTCCTCAGCCAGGCTGAGGAATTCTGGGAGTTGAAGTCCACAAGTCAGAAAAGGGCCTAGTTTGAAGACCCCTGCGCTAAAAATCTCCTCAGGAAGCATCTCGTCTTCCAGAAGAAATCTGAAGAAGATGGTGCAGTGTCGAACGCTGGACAATTCTGCCCTTTCCTTGCTGATCAGAACACCAAATTGATTCCGCGTCTTACTTACAGTCGCTTGGGCCACAACTGAATACAGATAGTCCTCGGCTTACGACCGCAATTGAGCCCAGAATTTCCGTTGCTCAGCGAAACTCTTGTTAAGTGTCCCATTTTATAACCTTTCTTGCTACCGTTGTTAAGTGAATCACTGCCGTTGTTAAGTTAGTAACAAGGTCATTAAATAAATCTAGCTTTCTCATTGCCTTTGCTTGTCAGAAGGTCGTAAAAGGGGATCACGTGACCCCGGGACACTGCGACCGTCATAAATATGAGTCAGTTGCCAAGCCTCTTGAGTTTTGATCACGTGACCACGGGGATGCTGCAACGGTCGTAAGTGTGAAAAATGGTCATAAGTCACTTTTTTTGGTGCTATTGTAACTCTAAACTAGGGGTCTTCAAACTTGGGCCTTTTATGACTTGTGGACTTCAACTCCCAGAATTCCTCTGCTAGCATGCCTGACGGAGGAATTCTGGGAGTTGAAGTTCACAAGTCATAAAAGGGCCAAGTTTGAAGACTCCTGCTCTAAACGGTCACTAAATGAACTGTTGTAAGTCAAGGACCACCTGTATATCCCAAACTCTGGATGGCACCATTCTTAAATTGTCTGTTCTTCTCTAACCAGTCATGTTTCAAAGTAGGAAAAAAAAAAGTTTCAACTCGGTTGAGTTCTCCTACCCAACCAATAGCAGCTACAGAAAATGTATGTGTCGGCTGTCTCCCTTCAATCTAACATTTCTACTTTTCTGAATTTCTTGATAAAAGAAGCTTTGGGATGTTTGATCTTACCTTTTAATCCTCAAAATAATGAAGTACTCAAATCAAATGTGACCTTGTTGGTGAGACTGAAGGAAGTAAGGAAGTTTGACATTTAGGTAAACACTTTGCTCGCCCTATTAAAGGCACGTGAATTTTTTTTTTCTTCAGTTGCTCCGCAAAATACTTTCTAGGCAAGTCAGTTTGTCAGATCATCTTAAAATATGCGTTATGTTTCCTGAATTTTTGATTTAACACAGTTGCTCCGTTTTACCTCTTGCCCGAATCTTCTCTGAAAAACGGTTGCCAATTTGTAATTTTCAGTATAATGGAAGGACAGTGTTGTTATTTTAAATTAATGAATTGGGTTTTCTCCCGCAGGCCATGTAAAATTAATTTTATTAGTCATTTGTAAGGTATCAGCTGCAAGACCAGTGGCATAAAAATTGTTTCTAAGTAACCTAACGTTTGAATATATTCACTAAACCTAGAAACACACCAGAATTTTGTTTATGGTGATGTGTTACGGGAATCCTTAAGAGTAGCTTAACATTATTCTCTGTGCTATAATTTACGATTTATTATGTGCTACTGAAGAAATAGGATTAGATCTCCACCAAAAACAAAAGAGCTTAGAAAAGAGAGATAGTTAACGATTTGTTTTGCACACACACACACCGAAAATTATTTCCCCAAGGAACTTCCAGAATTAAGAAAAGTTGGTTTTCATAATTACCTTTTCAGAGTTGATCCAACTATCAATATCTGGCCTGCTGGCTGATTTGCTCTGTTCTCAGAAGCCAAGCAGATCTGATTAGTCCTTAGATGGGAGATATAGGAAAGGCGGGAAACTGTAAAATAAATAAAACCTTAGAAAAGCAACATCAGACCTGTCCCTATTGCTAACCTGTAACTATTGCTACAAGCCAGGGGTCTTCAAACTTGGCCCTTTGTGACTTGTGGACTTCAACTCCCAGAATTCCTCCGCCAGGCACGCTGGCTGAGGAATTCTGGGAGTTGAAGTCCACAAGTCATAAAAGGGCCAAGTTTGAAGACCCCTGGTATAAGCCAAGAGGCAAATTCCTTGTATATGTTCAATCTCCCTTGGCCAAGTAAAGTAGTCAAGTCAAGTCAAGAGTTGACTTTTCTCAGTTCTTAGCCCAGCTAAGGGCTATGGCTGGCTCAGGAATTCTGGGAGTTGAAGTCCTTAAGTCATAAAAGAGCCAAGGTTCCCTACCTCTGGGCTATGGCATCCATAGGATTTTGGTACCGGTAGCTACCCCCCAAAAAAGTTAGCAAGGCAAGCAAAGCCCACAGCTGCTGCAGTATGGATGGCGAGTATGCTTTAGTTCTGAGCAAAGTACGAGGGGGGTTTCGAGCACAGAGTTATGGACCTCTTGGAATTCCCCCCCACAGTTGTTTGTTGCTGGCTTGATAGTCCTGCTGCTTGATGAGCTTCTGCAAAAAGGCTATGGTTTGGGATCCGGCATTTCCCTCTTCATTGCCACCAACATCTGTGAAACCATTGTTTGGAAGGCTTTTAGCCCTACTACCATTAACACTGGCAGAGGTATAGTACCTTTTCTCACAGCTGATGTCTTGATCGGTTGCATGCTTTGTCAGCCTCTTGGTGGAGAGCAGCCGTGACCTAGAATCAGACATGAGAGGTAGCCCTAGATCGGGTTTTTCAAACTGTGTTCTAGAGGACCTTACAAACTGTTCTAGAGGGCCCTACAAATTCTGTTCTAGGGGACTCAACAAACTGCATGTAGAGAGACCTATAAATTGTGTTCTAGAGGACCCTACAAATTCTATTCTAGGGGACTCCACAAACTGCATTTACAGAAACCCTATAAATTGTGTTCTAGAGGATCCTACAAAGTGCGTTCTTTGGAACTCTACAAACCACTTAGAGGACCCTACAATCCGTGTTCTAGAGGACCCTACAAATCGTGTTCTAGAGGACTCTACAAACTGCTTTTAGAGGACTACAAATTGTGTTCCAGAGGGCTCTACAAATTGTGTGCTAGCGGACTCTACAAACTGCTTTCTAGAGAACCCTACAAACTGTTCCAGAGGATCCAACACTTCCAGCAGAACTCAAGAGGGTTCCATGAGAAGCTAAGGGTCAAAAAAAAATCCCACCAGGTTCACTCAGACACAACTCATTTTCTACCACTAAAGTTTTGTCTCTTGAATCAGGAAGTGCGAGGAATTTTTGTTTTTCCTCAGACAAGGTCCACAGCCTGGAAAAGTTTGAAAAACCCTGGTCTAGAACACTGTGTGTTGCAAAAAAAAAAAAAAAAGAAAAAAAAAGACAGGAATCTGGAGAACATGTTGGCCATCTTTACTTTCTACCTGGGCAGAAAGTGGCAAGGGTTTTTTATCTACAAGGTGGATTTGGGTGTAGGAGCCGTCCCCGTTCCAGAAACTTCCCAAATTGGGGTATCCCAGGGTACCACCAGGTAACACACAATACTCAACATCTGTCAGCCACTGCACGAACTACAAACTTAAGGGTGCCATGAAAAAAAGTCTTACTGAAACACTTAAGGATGGTGTGAACCAAGAAATTTTCTTCAATCATGTCACACTCTCTAGAATCCTGAAGAATCCAGATAGGAAATCTGGAAATGCCCCTTAAATTATCTCTCAGTCTCTTTGTCATGTCGCTGTTATCCCAGAAGGAAAAACCGTGGCACAGTGGACAGTGACTGCTTGAACAGCCATCACAATTGCACAAAAACCTTCTGTAGATGAATCGTCTCAGATGGTGGATCCGAAGCGTGTCCGTAATCTTTACAATACGGGCAGCTCTCAACTTACGACCACAATTGAGGTCCAAATATTTATTGCTAAGGGAGATTTGCTCCATTTTATGACCTGTTCGAGCAGACAGGTGGCTGTCCAATCTCTTCTCCAAAACCTCCAGTGTTGGAGCACTCACAACTTCTGAAGGCAAGCTGTTCCACTGATGAACTGTTCTCAGTATCAGGAAATTTCTTCTTTAGTTCTAGGTTGCTTCTCTAATGATCTTCATCCCTTGCTTCTTGTCCTGCCTTCAGATGCTTTGGAGACTAGGTTGACCCCCTCTTCTTTGTGGCAACCTTTTAAATACTGGAATGCTGCTATTGTGTCCCCCCCTAGTCCTTCTTTTCTCTAGATTAGCCATACCCAATTTCTGCAACGGTTCATCGTGTCTTTTTGCCTCCAATCCCCTAATAATTTTTTTTTTTTTTGCTCTTCTCTGCAGTCTTTGGAATCTTAAATCTTGGAAATCTCAAAGCACATACATTTCTTCCCCCCTCACCTTTATTTTCCAGGGAACCAGGGAAGGTCTCTTCCACACCCCTGTTCCTTCCGAGAACTGAGATGTCCTTTGTCTGCCTGTTGCCCTGTCTCTCAACTATATTCCCATATAGCAGTGGTGGTGAACCTATGGCACGGGTGCCAGAGGCGGCACTCAGAGCCCTCTCTGTGGGCACGCACGCCATCGCCCCAGTCCTAGGCCTTCAGCTGGGTTTTATAAAACATACGCTTTAGGCCTCTGCTGCCGTGTACAAAAAAAAAAAGGTTCAATCAATCAGTCAATTTCAACTTCTCGTGGGAAAATAAAATCTTGCAAAGTTGGAATTGATTGATTGAACGTTTTAGTCCCACCCAGTCTGCCGTTACCACTGCAGTCATGCCCACCCAATGGGCCACACCCACCCTCATGGGCCACGCCCACCCGGCACCCGACGATGCATAAGTGGGTTTTGGGTTGCAGTTTGGGCACTCGGTCTCTAAAAGGTTCGCCATCACTGCCATATACAGTAGTGGCCAAAATGGTGGAAACCTTTTGGGAAAAGTGTACAGTAGAAATGCTACCTTTGCTTAAGTTTCCACCCATTTTTCCTCCAATTTCTTTATAACTGTAGCCTTGTTCACTTAATAATACTATTTTACATCGCTTTCTGGGCGACCAGTCAACTCTTTGCACCATTCCTTTAATTTTGTTACGTTTTACAAGCTCAACTAAATGAAAGAACACAAAAAAACCAACCAACTTGATAGCCATCACATAACACACTGACAAATGTCCTCCTCTCAGCTTCAATACATGACATCAATCACTGAATCCTACCGTGATCTGATTGGCTCATTGCCAAAACGAGATGACACCCGATTGGCTCTCTAAGCACTCCTGCTCATTGGCTACAATCCGATGAAGGAAAGCTACCTGAGATCGATCAACCTAAGCAAGTTGTGCTTCCTTTTTCTGGCTGTTTGGCTATCACTTTTCATAGAATACGGTACAAATAATTGAACCAATGTTGTTGCATGACATTCTTGATTAAATTATCTTTCCATGGATATATCATTTTAGGGTACTACTCTCAAAAAAAAAGTGGTGTTATTCGCCATCCAACCTCAAAAATAGACTTTTCCCAAAAGGTCTCCACAATTTTGGCCACTAGTGTAGACCCTTGTCCAAGTAAAACATCAGTCTGCTGAAGGGAAGGGAGCACTTCCAGTTGAGTAGAGAGTTCCTCTTGATGATGCTGAGGAACTGGGAGAAGAATTGGAGCCTCCCCCAAGAAATATTCCCGAGATCCTGTCTTTTGACACCCTTTCTGTACCTCGGTGCTCGTCGTGATAATGTGTCCCGTGTCCTAGGAGAGTGTGCATGCTGGTCCAGTCTCATGTGAGCATTTGGCTTGCACGAAACGTTGCTTGGTAAGTCTCGGGGAAAAGAGTTTGCGTAAGACCTTCGCGCAATTCATTTTAAGCCTACCAAGTCCATGTCTTTGAATAATTACAGCACCCCATTACAGGCAAGTCCTTGACTTACAGCCACAATTGAGCCCACCCGACGTTTCTGTGGCTAAGCGAGGCAGCTGTTAAGTGAGCACTGCCCCCGTTTTGCCACTTTTCTTGCCGCCGCCGTTAAGCGAATCATTGCAGTTCAATTAGCAGCCCGGTTGTTAAGTGAATCCGGCTTCCCCCATTAATTTTGCTGGTCGGACGGTCACCAAAGGGGATCACGTGACCCCAGGACCCTGCGACTGTCATAAATGTGAGTCAGTGGCCAAAGGTCTGAATTTTGATCAGGTGACCCCGGGGAGGCTGCAACGGTCGTTAAGTGTGAAAAATGGTCCTAAGTCGCTTCTTTCAGTGCCGTTGTAACTTCGGAACTGCTGTAAGTCGAGGACTGCCTGTAATTCCTCCTCCTCTTTTGAATTCTGCATGAGTTCCATTCGGCGGTTTTGGCGGTGCTCCTGCGCCAAAGTTGTCGTCTCTCCTGTGCCAAAGTGACCCTGTTTGTGGTTTTGGGTCCATCCAGGTACAGAGTTTGAGGGCGCCGTCATTGCCTTGTTCCACCTCTTGGCCACGCGAACCGACAAAGTCCGGGCTCTGCGGGAAGCCTTTTACCGCCAGAACTTGCCCAATCTGATGAACCTGATCGCCACCGTGTTTGTGTTCGCTGTAGTCATCTACTTTCAGGTAAGGGGCGTCCGCGCCAGGGTGTGTGGGGTGTGTGTGGGGGCCGTTGAAGAGACTGGTGTTTTACGACCGGAGGAAATGCAGTGAAAAGTTTCGGTCGGCCTAAAATCAGAGCACGCCCTTTAGATTCTCTCTGGTGTAGAAATGAGGGTCGCCCTTAGGAAGAGTGATCCCAAATTCACACTCCTGGCTATAAATGGCTTCCTTTCTCATTCTGATTTTCTAACTAGAAAATTCTTTCTAGTTTGAGCCTTGTGGAGGGCTTGGTGTTTTCTGAGCTTGGTGCCAGCACTGATGATGTTACCTAGATGGGTAGTGAAATGTCTGCAAGAAAAATGACCAAGCTCAGAGAGCACCAGGGACCCCACCATCGTCCTCCTCCTCCTCCTCCTCCTCCTCCTCCTCCTCCTCCTCCTCCTCCTCCTCCTCCTCCTATCTAGCACTGATGATTTTACTTAGTTTGGTCAGTGAAATCTCTGCAAGAAAACCAAAAAGGTCAGGGAACACGAGGGACCCCACAGTCGTCGTCCTCCTCCTCCCCCTCCTCCTCTTCCTCTTCCTCCTCCTCCTCCTACTACTACTACTACTACTACTATCCAGCACTGATGATTTTACTTAGTTTGATCAGTGAAATCTCTGCAAGAAAACCAAAAGGTCAGGGAGCACCAGGGACCCCACAGTCGTCGTCGTCCTCCTCCTCCCCCTCCTCCTCCTCCTCCTCCCCCTCTTCCTCTTCCTCTTCCTCCTCCTCCTCCTCTTCCTCCTCCTCCTCCTCCTCCTACTACTATCTAGCACTGATGATTTTACTTAGTTTGATCAGTGAAATCTCTGCAAGAAAACCAAAAGGTCAGGGAGCACCAGGGACCTCACAGTTGTTGTCCTCCCCTCCTCCTCCCCCTCCTCCTCCCCTCCCCCTCCTCCTCCTCCTCCTCCTCCTCCTCCCTAGCACAGATGTTACTTAGTTTGGTCAGTGAAATCTCTGCAAGAAAACCACCAGAGAACCAGGGACCCCAGTTCAACCCTGAGCTATAGATACTTCCTTCCGTCGCTATTTTATCTTTGTCAGAATTAAGCTGCATCCTTTGCACAAAATGTGTTCAGTGTTTCTTTCAGTAACAGAATATTATATCAAGATGGGATAAGCAGAACCTTTGATGTTGGCTGACTTAGTTGCCTTCTAGTTCGTGGTAAAACTGGCAGGTGGGAGAAAAAGTCAACTCGATCTCTCTGCCTAGAGCTCGTAAGTAGGACGAAGTCCAAAGAAGCTGGAAGATCTGGAGAAATTGGTCAGCTGAAATTGCAAACTGCCCGGATCGCCGAGAGGGAATGGTAGCTGGCTGGGGAAAGAGGAAAAACTACTCAAGATTTCAGATTTTATTTTTTTTCCACCCTGGATTCTAGTTCTTACATTTGATGGTAAAGTTTGCCACTTAGTTGCGGGGCCATCCGCGCTCCGTCCTGCTTAATGGTAACCGGAGAACAAGTCAACGGGTCCCAAGTCCCGAAAACCTTCTCGGCTTCTGCAGTTTTGAAAGAGGGATCCACTTTGCCAGCCGGTGATCGCCTTTGCTCCTCTCCCCCGCAGGGATTCCGAGTGGATCTCCCAATCAAGTCTGCTCGCTACCGGGGGCAATACAGCAGCTACCCCATCAAGCTCTTTTATACGTCCAACATCCCCATCATCCTTCAGTCCGCCTTAGTGTCCAACCTCTATGTCATTTCCCAGATGCTGTCCGTGCGGTTCAGCGGCAACTTTTTAGTCAATTTGCTTGGGCAATGGGCGGTAAGTATCCAGCTCTTCCTCCACCACACAGGTAATCCTCGACTTACGACCATAGTCAAACCCAAGATCTAGAACAGTGGCTCTCAACCTTTTTAATGCCGCGACCCCCCCAACCGGTCGTAAGTCGAGGACTGCTTAACCGGTCATAAGTCGAGGACTACTCAACTGGTGCAGCACCGTTTGCAGAATGGGACTTTTGGCGGGCTCAGCAGGGCAGAGACAGCCTGGACAATTCCTATTGGCTTTGAAAGCCAATAGAATTAGACTCTATTCAAGAGAGTCTATTCTATTGGCTTTCAAAAGCCAATAGAATAAAAGGGAGTAGCACAGCTAAGGAAAAGGGGGAAAAAATGGTGGACTGCGTTGTTTGGCGACCCCCGTGAAACGGTCGTTTGACCCCAAATGGGGTCCCGACCCACAGGTTGAGAACCACTGATCTAGAAAGATTGAGTGTTAAAACAACTAGGATATGTATAAACAAAAATTACTGATAAATGTAAGAAAAGTTATTTTTATCTAATTGATATAGTAAGAATTGTATTAATTTAAATGCGAGACACTGAATACCAAGGGGAAAAGGGAGGAAATATTTAATGTGATAGGTTGAGATCTGTACTAAAGATATTTGTATGTTACTGAATTATTAACCAACTCAGCCGCCACGTTGCTTTTCAAATATTTAAATGCGAAAATAGAAAATCAATTAAAAAAAATTTCAAAACCAAAACCAAAACGGTAGTCCTTAACTTACAACAGTTCGTTTAGTGACAATTCGACATTACAACAGCACTGAAAAAAGCAACTTAAGACCGGTTTTCACACGACCGTTGCAGCATCCCCATGGTCACGCGATCAGGATTTGGGCATTTAGCAACCGACTCACATTTACGACGATCACAGTATCCCAGGGTCACGTAATCCCCTTGTGGGACCTCCTGACAAGCAAAGTCAACGGAGGAAACAGGATTCGCTTAACGACTGCATGATTCACTTAACGATGGTAGTGATTCAAAACAACCAAAAGGGGTGGTAAAATGGGACGAACATCACTTAACGAGTGCCTCGCTTAGCGATGTATAAGTTTGGGTTCCGTTGCAGTCCTAAGTGGAGGACTACCTGTATCACCTTCAAAGTAGCGGCGTTTTACTTTGGGGTCTGCAAAATGGGGGGGTCTTCACGTTTTCATTTTCTCCTTTCTAGGACGTTAGCGGGGGTGGCCCAGCACGCTCCTATCCGGTCGGGGGTCTCTGCTATTACCTCTCCCCGCCGGAATCCATGGGGGCCATCTTTGAGGATCCGGTCCATGTGATTGTGTACATTATATTTATGCTGGGCTCTTGTGCCTTTTTCTCGAAAACGTGGATTGAAGTATCCGGATCGTCTGCAAAAGACGTAGGTGGTTTCTTTTTCTTTCTTTCTCTCTTTTTCTTTCTTTCTTTCTTTCTTTCTTTCTTTCTTTCTTTCTTTCTCTCTCTCTTTCTTTCTTTCTTTTTTTCTTCTCTTTTTCTTTTTTTCTTTCTCTCTCTCTCTCTCTCTCTTGCTTGCTTGCTTTCTTATCAGATAAATATGGCTACCCAACTCATACATAGTGATTCCATGCATCATATAGCATATACTGGATTTTCAGAGTTCCTGGACAATATGCCAACTATACTAAGCTCTACCTTACAATTTAAACAATCTTTCTTTCTTTCTTTCTTTCTTTCTTTCTTTCTTTCTTTCTTTCTTTCTTTCTTTCTTTCTTTCTTTTTCTTTTTCTCTTTCTTTCTTTCATCCTTCCTGCCTTCCTTCTTTCCATTCTTTTTCTTTCTTTTCTCTCTTTCTCCCCCCCCCCCGCCCGCATCCCTTCTACACTCTCCGGCACCTGGTCCCCAGATTCTCCCTTGTGGATGCCAAGCCTGGCATCCATTTTACACCCGGGTATTTTTGTAGGTCGCCAAGCAACTGAAAGAGCAGCAGATGGTAATGAGAGGCCACCGAGATACATCCATGGTTCATGAATTAAACCGGTAAGGAGATCCGAAATGTCAACTTGAGCGGTCCTTGATGCTCTCTGAGCTTGCTGATTTTCTGGCAGACGTTTCATTACCCAAACTAGGTAACATCTAGCACTGATGATATTATCATCACCAGCAGCACCTCTTTTCCTGCAAACCCCATTCCCTTCTAGCATTGATGATGTCATCTAGTTGGGTAATGAAACGTCTGCAAGAGAACCACCAAGCTCAGAGAGCACCAAGGACCCCACAGGCCTCCTCCTCTTTTCCTGCAAACCCCACTCCCTTCTAGCACTGATGATGTCACCTAGCTGGGTAATGAAATGTCTGCAATGTAAAATGTAAAAGTGTGAGATGGCTTATATGGGAAAAAATAAGAATTAAATCTGTCCATGTAAATGTAATTAATCGTTGAGAAAATCTTTATTAGGAAGAATATCTAGAATTTGATGGGAGAAATGAACCAAAATGAGGATTGTAACAGGATTTATGATAAGGCAGCCAAAAGAACTGAAAAGAAAAGAAATACTATACGAATATGATTATTATTTTTTAGGAATATTGGAAAAATTATATATTTAATTGTTACTCATTAAAACAATAAGAATTGTATTAACTCAATATTTGCAAAAAAAAAGGAAATTTTGGGGAAAGAGGAAATCAACCAAAATTAATATATGGAAGACAGATTATAGAAATTAATTGTTAAGGATTGTTTCACAAATGTAACCCAGACAACACACTGTTTAGCAATTATTGAGTGGCGAGCATCCAGGACCCCATAGTCCTCCTCCTCCTCCTCCCCCTCCCCCTCCCCCTCCTCCTCCTCCTCCTCCTCCCCCTCCCCCTCCCTTCTAGCACTAGCACAATGACACAAACGTGAGTAGATTTCAATTAAAGCAGGTTTTGTTCCTTTTTTCCATTTAGGTACATCCCGACGGCAGCTGCCTTCGGAGGGTTGTGTATCGGGGCTTTGTCGGTCCTGGCTGATTTCCTTGGCGCCATCGGCTCCGGCACCGGCATTCTGCTAGCGGTCACCATTATTTATCAATACTTCGAGATCTTTGTCAAAGAACAGGCCGAAGTTGGAGGCGTGGGTGCTTTATTTTTCTAAACAGGCCGGTACCGCCTGGCTCGTGAGAAAAAAGGGGAGACCTCCTTTGACGTCATCTGAATCCAATAATGCCATTTTAAATTTTTTTTTTTTTTTTTGGTCCTTTTGAAACAAAGTGCTCTGTCACCCCATTTGCTCACAGTGGGCTTGCGCGCAGCTTCGGAACCGGCTGCCTTAAAAGAATCAAAAGTTTACATTGTCTTGGTTAAAAAAAGAAAATCCAAATATATATTTGGATTATGTGTAATTAATATATATATATATATAGGTCTTTGGTTGTTCAGGTTTTCTCCCGCGTAAAATTGGAAATGTCTTGGCGACATTTCGGCGAAGTCCCATTCGTCATCTTCAGGCTGGTGTTTTCAGCTTTGTGCTCCTCGAAGCACGAAGCCGAAAACACCAGCCTGAAGATGACGAATGAGACTTCGTTGAAACATCTCCAAGACATTTCCAATTTTACGCGGGAGAAAACCCGAACAATATATATATATATATATCTTGTGTGGCCTATAAACCCTCGCGTGAAGGAATGGCGGGTGCCCATTTTGTTACACTTTTGCACACTCCGTGGTGGGATTCAAGATACCTACGCACATCTGACGCCCGTGGCACAGAGTTGGCGGGTGGCTCCAGATGGCAACACTTGAGCTCATTTCAAAACCATAGGTCCCTGTGTTCCTTGAAATCTGTATTTTACATGAATTTACTTTTATATATTCCAAGAAAAACACACACACACACACACACACACGCCCTCCCTTGCACCTTAAGTCCCTCTTTGAAGCAGGCATCTTAGCCCCCAGACTCAGAAATTAAGACCAAGGCAGGAGATCATGTCAACCGTGCCATTTGTGTATTCGCTCCCACCGAAACGTGAGGGATGGTAGAACCTGGATGAGGGGGCTCCAGGTTTGTGCCAGCCCTTGGAGACTGACACGCTGGGGTGTCTTTCAGACTGGGGGGGGGGGTAAGCAGGGAAAAGCCCTGAGCTGCTTGAAACTTCACCCTCACGTCTGTTCGTTCCAAAGTAAATTAAAACAAAACAAAACAAAAAAACCCCACAGCCAAGCAAAATGGTTGGTCTCAAAGGGGGAATGGCTTGGGCTGATAACAAACTGAGCCTTTGTCGAGCTTCTTTGCGGCAACGTAGCCCGTGTAAAACATTATAGACATTAAAGTTATTTAATTAAAAGCTCATCCTTGCTGCTTTTTTTTTTTCTTTTTACAAGATGGCTTCCCTTGTCGCTCCTTGAGGTAAAACAGCGATTCTCAACCTGTGCCATTTGGGGTCGAACGACCATTTCACGGGGTTCGCCAAACAACGCAGTCCGCCATTTTTTTTCCCCTTTTCCTTAGCTGTGCTACTCCCTTTTATTCTATTGGCTTTGGAAAGCCAATAGAATAGACTCTCTTGAATAGAGTCTAATTCTATTGGCTTTCAAAGCCAATAGGAATTGTCCAGGCTGTCTCTGCCCTGCTGAGCCCGCCAAAAGTCCCATTCTGCAAACGGTGCTGCAAGTTGTCTGCAGCGAAGGCGAGCTGTCTGGAAGCTTCCACCCCTCCCTGCTGAGCAACTACTAAAAATGTAAGTAAAAGAGGGCCAGGGTGGGAGGTGGGAGGCTGGCGGGTGCAGGGAGGGTTGCTGGTGCGCGTGGGGCCTGGTGGGTGCCTTACCTCCCTTGGGCTGGGCCAGCTGGTGGCCCAGCCGGTGGTTGGCCTGCACCGTCGCTGCCCCTTGCCAGCTACGCCTCGGCCGGCGCAGGGGGCAGCACCACGCATGCGCAGCGCTCCCGGGCAGGGAAAGTCCTCGACTTACAACCGGTTGGGTAGTCCTTGAGTTACGACCGGTTGGGGTCGCGGCATTAAAAAGGTTGAGAACCACTGAGGTAAAAGGTGGCGTATATCGGCATGGAACCAAAATGACTTAACGACTTTTTCACGCTCTTGTAACATTCCCCACAGTCACATGATCAAAATGTGGGCCCTTGGCAATTGGTTCGTATTTATGACAGTTGCGGCCTCCCAGAGTCATGTGATCCCCTTTGGCAGCCTTCTGTTGAGCAGTCAACGGGGAGGCCACTTAACAACCGGGTTAGTATCAACTGCAATGATTCACTCAGCAACCGTGGCAAGGCAGGTCATAAAACGGCGGAAGTTAGCGACAGACATTTTGAGCACAATTGTGGTCATAAGTCAAGGACTGCCTGTACAGGGCCCCTCCTTCCAGTTTTCCCCCACTGAGCAATCCTGGGAGGTAGGCTGGGCTGGGAAAGGGTCTGGCTCAAAGTCCTCCTGAGAACTTCCATGGCTGAAGAAGACCTCGGGGTCTCCTCAGCCTTGGACCCACCCATCGCCCACCACCCCAGGGTTTCTCAAACCTGGCAACTTTTTAAGACTTGTGGACTTCAACTCCCAGACTTCCTTGCTAGAGGCAGGGAGAAGATTGCGGGCAGCCTCTGACAACCTGCAGAGCTCTGGAAGTTCTGCCTCTTGGGTTGATCAACCATTTATGAGTACCAAGGAAGATGGGACCGGTTCTGTGCATTGTCCATTAAGGAGAAGAGAAGCTAAACAGTTGGCCAAGCCCAGGGGTAGGCAACCTTGGCTCTTTTATGACTCGTGGACTTCAATTCCCAGAATTCCTGAGCCAGCATAGGGGAACTCTGGCCCCTTCATGACTCATGGACTTCAACTCCCAGAATTCCTGAGCTAGCCATACTGAGGGGAAAGGGAGAGGTTTCCAAGCTGAGCCATGCTGGCTCAGGAATTCTGGGAGTTGAAGTTTACGAGTCAGGAAGCGGCCTAGGCCAGGGGTAGGCAACCTTGGCTCTTTTATGACTCATGGACTTCAACTCCCAGAATTCCTGAGCCAGCCATGCTGAGGGGAAAGGGAGAGGTTTCCAAGCTGAGCCATGCTGGCTCAGGAATTCTGGGAGTTGAAGTCCACAAGTCATAAAAGAGCCAAGGTTGCCTACCCCTGGCCAGGCCCAGGGCAAAACAAGACCCAATCCACAGTCTTGGCTGCCAGCTACTCAACCCACCAACTTAGTAGTTCAAAAACTATAGACTGGAAAAGAGAGTAAGAAGCCTTTTATTTTTCCGCCAACTATTCCAGTGAACTTGAATTAGGTAAAAAAAATTATGCAGGAAACTGCTCGCTTATATTATTCAGAGCAACATTTCTTGAAGGTCTCTAGAACTTTGAGTTCTAGAACTTCATGAAGGGAACCTGGAAGGGCTGGTCTGTCGCGTGCCGCAGGGCGAGCGCGTAAGCGTACAGCTTGGCATCCACGATCAGGTGTTCCTCGGCCACCAGTTCTGCAGAAAACACACACAAGCATACACTTTAAAGAGGATAATCCAGAGCTGGTCTTCCATTCAAAGGGCCGTGGATGATGGTTTTCATTAACACAGGTGGTCCTCGACTTAACAGCAGTTTGTTTAGTGACCAAAGCCACCGGCACTGAATAAAGTGTAACTTGTGACCGTTTTTCACCCTTAGTGACCGTTGCACCATCTCCACAGTCAACGTGATCCAAATTCATACGTTTGGCAACTCATATTTACGACGGTCGCAGCATCCCGGGCTCACGTGATCCCCTTTGGCGATCTTATAAGCAAAGCCAATGGGGAACCCAGATTCACTTAACAACTGGGTTACTAATTTAACCACTGCAGTGATTCCCTTAACAAACCTGGAAAGGAAGGTTGTAAAATGGGGTGAACCTCACTTAACAAATGTTTCACTTAGCGACAGAAAGGTCGGGCTGGGAAGTCAAGGACTACCTGTGGAGGCGTACGAGCTTGTGATAATGGTTCATTATCCTTGTGATAATGGTTCATTATCCGTGCAATTGATTAATGTCTCTGAACGCGGACTTGGAGTGGGCTTTCCAGGTCCCCTTTCTAAAAATGCATCTGGATTTTTCACACATCTCCCAGATGTGAGAGAAGGGATCTCACTGAGGTTATAGCTCCTTATAATAATAATAAAGTTGGAAGGGACCTTGGAGGTCATCTAGTCCAACCCCTACTCAGGCAGAAAACCCTATACCAGTGGTGGCGAACCTATGGCACGCGTGCCAGAGGTGGCACTTGGAGCCCTCTCTGTGGGCATGCCTGCCATCCCCCCCAGCCCTACCTCCACCCGTAGCCCTCTCCTCACCAGCAGCCCCCCGGAGGAGCGTCGCCCCTGGGCACTGTCCACGCGGAGCAGCGCAGCCAAGGACATGGCATCCGGGCAGCGGGGACAAGACTCCGCCCTCGTTCCCTGTTGCATGCAAATGATGCGGGGCGTGGGTGGAGGGTGTGACCGCCATGGCGCTGCGGCGGGCCATGGAGGCAGTGGGTGGCCCTACGGGCAGGCGGGGTCACGCATGAGTAGGGGTGGGACAGGGCGGGGCAGGGCAGGCAGAGCAGGGGGGCGGTTTTGGGGCACTCGGTCTCTAAAAGGTTTGCCATCACGGCTCTATACCATTTCAGACCAATGGCTGTCCAGTCTCTTCTTAAAAACTTCCAGTGTTGGAGCATTCACCACTTCTGGAGGCAGGTTGTTCCACTGGTCCTTCAGTCAAATGATGGGAAAACTTCATTACATCAGATAGACCAGGGGTCCCCAACCTTGGCAACTTTAAGACTTGTGGACTTCAACTCCCAGCATTCAAATTTGAATTCAAATTCAAAATGCAAAGCTGGCTGAGGAATTCTGGGAGTTGAAGTCCTACAAGTCTTAAAGTTGCCACGGTTGGAGACCCCTGAGATAGACCGTGCAAATATTTTGTATTAACATGAAAAGTTTGGGAAGAGAAGGATGTGCTTGTAAAAAAAAAACAACAACCAAGTAGTCCTCAACTTACGACTGCAACTGAGCATTGCAGTTAGGTGAGTTTTGCCCCATTTCATGACCTTTCTCGCCAAAGTTATTAAGTGAATCCCTGCAGTTGTTAAGTTAGACACAAGGTTGTGAAGTGAATCTCGCTTCCCCATTGACTTTGCTAGTCAGAAGGTCACAAAAGCGGACCACGTGAACCCGGGACGCTGCGACTGTCATAAATATTTCCCGGTTGCCAAGAGTCCTAATTTTGATCACATGATCGTGGGGACGCTGCGACGGTTGTAAGTGTGAAAGACGGTCACGAGTCCCCTTTTTCAGCGTCGTTACAAGTTTGAATGGTCACTAAACGAACTGGTTCTAAATTGAACAATTCCTGTTTTTCCTAAACTGCGGCCTCGACAGGTTTGCAGTCGTTGAGATCCATTTCCAGGTTTTCATTTCAGATTATTTTGAGAAGGTTTGGCTCCAGCCGGACCTGGCAGAGATGTTTCGTTGCCTGAATTTCCTATTCTGTAAGACAACAGGAGGTGGTGAACTCTACTTCAACAATCACGAGCTTGCAAGGTGTGATACACATGGGTGTTACACAGGGCGCTGCAAAGTGCAATCCTTTGCACACCTCCTGCAAAATCCCACTGAATTCAACGAAGGCTGTTGCAAGCTAAATAGAATATTCAACTTCTCACCCTGACAATACCCTTTTTTAAAGATGGAAAATATTCTTCCACAGGTCTTCTAAGGATTGCCACCACTGCACGGTTTGTATACCCACCCAGGCACTCAGAGAGCAAATGTTCCACAAGTTCCTCCATTTTCCTCCATATATTAATTCAGAAGGACTTATCCCATCCCATTCAACAGGTACTGAATTCAAATCTCAGTGTATACAAACTCTATGCTAAATAAGGAAGTTCACAGAAATAACAGAATAATGGAGTTGGAAGAGACCTTGGACAACATCCACCCACCCCCTAACCCAGGGGTAGGCAACCTTGGCTCTTTTATGACTCGTGGACTTCAACTCCCAGAATTCCTGAGCCATCTTGGCTGGCTCAGGAATTCTGGGAGTTGAAGTCTACGAGTCATAAAAGAGCCAAGGTTGCCTACCCCTGCCCTAACCTCTAGTGATGGGGAAGGAAGGAAGGAAGGAAGGAAGGAAGGAAGGAAGGAAGGAAGGAAGGAAGGAAAAGAAAGAAAGAAAGAGAGAGAGAGAAAGGAAGGAAGGAAGGAAGGAAGGAAGGAAGGAAGGAAAGAAAGAAAGAAAGAAAGAAAGAAAGAAAGAAAGAAAGAAAGAAAGAAAGAAAGAAAGAAAGAAAGAAAGAAAGAAAGAAAGAATAACAAAATAACAGAGTTGGAAGAGACCAACACTCACCCACCCCCTAACTCCAGTGATGAGGAAGGAAGGAGGAAGGAAGGAAGGAAGGAAAAAAGAATAACAGAATAATAGAGTTGGAAGAGACCTTATAGGTCTTCTAGTCCAACCCCCTGCTCTAACAGGAAACACAATACCATTCCAGACAGATGGTTGTCCGATCTCTTTAGCTTGATTCTTGCAAGGAAACTTCAGTTCTACATCTGAAACAAGCTTTCCATCCATACTTCCTTACCTTCAATTCTCTGCATTAAATCGTTCTTTGGTAGCGTAACGACTTCCACAAACTCTGACGAGGGAAAAACAAGAAAACCGGAAGTTAGGGAACTGGTGCCATCATCCATTGTCCATCACCACAAAATGGCCTCTTTCGGTCACCTTCATGAAGTAGTACCAGTAAAGGAGAATATTTGTAGCTCAGGGCTGAACTGTGGGGTCCTTGGGGCTCTCTGAGCTGGGTGGTTTTCTTGAAAATGTTTCCTTAACAAAGCAAAAACATCTGCAGGAAACGGGATCTTCCCAAACCAGATGTCAACGCTGCTAACATCGGATGTTCTTGCTTTGACAACATATGGAGATACAGCCATTTTCTTTCTTATATTTTACTCTTAGAATTAGAGTTAGAATTAGATGATACTGGGGGGGGGAGGAGGAATGTGCATGGGAGTTTACTTAAGACATAACAATACTGTAACTAGTGTGAGAACCAAGGTTTTTGAAATAAGAGATGATAAGAATTGGCAGGCTGGAGAACTGGAGGGAGAGCCTGCATTTCAAACGAATTGGAGAATGTGATTTATGACTGTTAATTAGAGGAGGGAATTGTGCTTCAATACTATGTACTCAGGGGAGGGGAATTCAGATTTTGGCTTGGCCTATGTACGTGCCGATGCTACGCTACTCGAATAAAGATTCTTTAAAGTAAACAACGCCTCAAAATTCTTTGAAGAGTTTCACCTGTCGGAACGATGACACCAGGGAGAAACAGTTTTCTAACTTGGAAACATTTTTTAAAAAACAACAACTTGTATTCCTCTGATCCCTAGTGATAGTCCTCGACCACAATTGAGCTCAAAATTTCTGTTCCTAAGCAAAACAATTGTTAAGTGAGTTTTGCTCCATTTTACAACCTTTTTGCCAGTTGTTAAGAGAATCACCGGTGTGAACAACACAGCTGTTAATCTGTGAATCCGGCTTCCCCATCGTCTTTGCTTGTCAGAAGGTCGCAAAAGGGGATCACATGACCACGGGACACAGCAACCGTCGTAAGTGTGAACCAGTTGCCAAGCGTCCAAATTTGGATCACGTGAGCACCGGGATGCTGCAACCGTCGTTAAGTGTGAAAAACGGTCAGAACTCACTTTTTTCAGTGCTGTTGTTAACTTTAAACAGTCACTAAATGATTCGTTCTAAATTGAGGACGGCCTGGACATGCGTTACCCAATTACTAACAAAGACCAAAGTGCAGGATGACTTCAAAAAAACATACAATATCAGATGATGAAGGGGTTTTAGTGAATAAAAAAAAGAGGGGCGAATCCAAACCAGAAGCTAGAATTCCAAAAGAAATTGAGAATATTCATCTCGGATCATCCAGGCAAAATGAACTTAAGCAGGTAACGTACCTCCTTCCTCTGTAGGGGAGAAACAGAAGAGAAATGTCACAAAAATGAGATCTCAGTGGGTTCGAATTGTGTGTTATTTGCATGAAGGGAGATCACTCTCAGTAGTGACACTCAACACAACCCTGAATAGTTTCATGTCTTTTCTTGCTGCAGGTTGAAGGATAATTGCCTCTATCGGGGTCACCCATGGTATGGAAGTAATAATGGGGTCCCCACCCCCAGGCTGTAGCCCATAGGTATTCCTAAAAGGAGTGAGGTCAAAATTTGGGGGGCTGCGTAGCGAAGGGTCCTAGAGATAAATTAAGTGCCTTAAGTTAACTTTGAAGATGTGCGGACTTATCGTATACTAAGCCTTAACCATCATCCCAGTTTTGTGACCCTAATTCAGGGGTAGGCAACCTTGGCTCTTTTATGACTCGTGGACTTCAACTCCCAGAATTCCTGAGCCAGTCATGCTGAGGGGACAGGGAAAGGTTTCCAAGCTGAGTCATGCTGGCTCAGGAATTCTGGGAGTTGAAGTCCACGAGTCATGAAGGGGCCATAGTTTCCCTCATGCTGGCTCAGGAATTCTGGGAGGGGTCTTCAAACTTGGCCCTTTTATGACTGGTGGACTTCAATACCCAGAATTCCTGAGCCAGCCATGCTGAGGGGAAAGGGAGAGGTTTCCAAGCTGAGCCATGCTGGCTCAGGAATTCTGGGAGTTGAAGACCATGAGTCATGAAGGGGCCATAGTTCCCCCATGCTGGCTCAGGAATTCTGGGAGTTAAAGTCCACGAGTCATAAAAGAGCCAAGGTTGCCTACCCCTCTCCTAACCATTGCACAGATGTCATGCCATCATCTGAACAGCTAGTCCTCGAGTTACGACCACAATTGAGCCCAATGTTTCTGTGGCTAAGAGAGACATTTATTAAGTGATTTTTTTCTCCCGTTTTACGGCCTTTCTTGCCACCGTTGTTAAGTGAATCACTGAGGATGTTAAGTTAGTAACATGTCTCTTAGTGAACCTGGCTTCCCCCAATGACTTTGTTCATCAGAAGGACACAAAAGGGGATCACGTGACCCCCGTCATAAATATGAATCAGTTGCCGAGCATCCGAATTTTGATCAGGTGACCATGGGGATGCTTCAACAGGTCGTAAGTGTGAAAAATAGTCATAGGTCACTTGTTTCGGTGCCACTGTAACTCTGAACGGTCACTAAACGAACGGTCGTAAGTCAAGGGCTACCTGTACGCCAAAGGAGTCAAGATATTAACGCTGCTGAACACCGACTGCAAAAAGATGATCGTCCACTAGATGGCAGCAGAGATTAAACTTATTCTGTATCTCTGCTGCCATCAAGTTACCTGTAGATGTTTAGGGCCTTGACAACTGTAAGATGTGTGACCTTTATCTAGAGCAGCAGTCTTCAAACTTGGCCCTTTTATGACTTGTGGACTTCAACTCCCAGAATTCCTCAGCCAGCGTGCCTGGCTGAGGAATTCTGGGAGTTGAAGTCCACAAGTCATAAAAGGGCCAAGTTTGAAGCCCCTGATCTAGCTCCAATAAACATGCCCCCAAATTTAATAAAAATCCATTGGACCTTCACAGAGCTTCAGCCTTGGAAACGTTAATTTGGTAGAAGGAAAAAAAGGAAAGAAAAGTTAACAAAACACTCACCAGGCTTTTGTTTTGGCTTCAGATTGACAGGTAGGTCTCCGTTGATGGTGACGGTTGCAATGTGTGACGCACAGTTTGTCAACCCGGGATCTAAGCATAACGCTATGGAAAGCATAAACACTCAGTTACACAGAAAAGAAAGCCTCATTGAAGAAAAAAAATTACACATTTTTTTGTACACGTCCTTCCCAGATCTTGAGAAGGTACACATAGCCACTCCCTTATTTTATCTGCATATTTGTAGGGGAAAGAGTACCAGAACCTGGGGGTGGAGTCAAAAGAGGATTCAGCCTAGAATCTCTATGTAGTCCCAAGCTAAGTCCAACCTCTCTTAAAATCAGTTCAAGCAGGTGCTAAGCGTTAGTTGAGAAGATTCCTAGCAGTGTATAGGCGTGAGTAGCAATACATCTGTTTCATTGGATCTTCCCGTGTGAATGTGATCTTTTGTGCCTGACAATATTAGTTTTTATAACTTCAATTATAAGAATATGACTGACCCAGGATCACATGGTGAGTTTCATGGCTAAGTGAAAATGAATTTGCCTTTCTTAATATCTTATAGACAACCTTGTGGTTGTCAATAATCTTTACAGCACCATTGTAAAAATAACTAAACCTGTTACTAATTAACGCAAGCACCTACATATGAAGATCCTCAAACTATTAAGTGATATTCTCCCTAAAAGACATCCTGAAGGTCAGCAAGACTGTAATACAGTGGTTCTCAACCTGTCGGGGCCCCATTTGGGGTCAAACGACCATTTCACGGGGGTCACCAAACAACGCAGTCCGCCATTTTTTTCCCCTTTTCCTTAGCTGTGCTACTCCCTTTTATTCTATTGGCTTTTGAAAGCCAATAGAATAGACTCTCTTGAAGAGAGTCTAATTCTATTGGCTTTCAAAAGCCAATAGGAATTGTCCAGGCTGTCTCTGCCCTACTGAGCCCGCCAAAAGTCCCATTCTGCAAACGGTGCTGCACCAGTTGAGTAGTCCTCGACTTACGACCGGTTGAATAGTCCTCGACTTACGACCGGTTGGGGGTCGCGGCATTAAAAAGGTTGAGAACCACTGCTGTAGTAAGAGATCTTGGAGTCCTAGTGGACAATCACTTAAAACAGGAGCCAGCAGTATACAGCAGCAGCCAAAAAAGCTAATAGAATCCTTGGTTATATAAACAGAGGCACAGAATCAAAATCAAGTATTAGGACTGCTTTTATAAAGCCTTAATAAAATTACACCTGGAATAATGCATCCAGTTTTGGTCGCCACTTTACAAAAAAGATGTTGAGACTTTGGAAAAAAGGCAGAGAAGAACAAGTAAGATGATTAAAGGCCTGGAGACTAAAAGATATGAGGAACGGTTGCAGGATTTGGGTAGGGAATAAGGGGGACATGATAGCAGTCTTTCAGTATTTGAGGGGTTGCCACAAAGAAAAAGGGGTCAACCTATTTTCCAAAGCACCAGAAGGCAAGACAAGAAGCAACGGATGGAAACTAACCAAGGAGAGGAACAGCTAGGAATTAAGGAGAAACTTCCCAACAGTGGGAACAATTAACTAGTGGAACAATTTGCCTCCAGAACTTTGTAGATGCTCCAACACTGAAGGTTTTTAAGAAGAGATTGGATAACCACCTATCTGAAATGGTATTGGGTCTCCTGCTTGAGCAGGGGGTTGGACTAGAAGACCTCCAAGGTCCCTTCCAGCTCTATTCTGATTCCGAAAGCTTTTATTGTTACCTCTTAAACATTTCTAGCATGTAACCATCAGCTTTCTTCTGTCAACAATACCAGTTTCCAGATTTAGCAACATAATCACCCAGACTTAATTGGACTAATTATATGCTATCAAGTGGGTGGTGACCCTTAGCAACTACACGGGTAGAGTTTCTCCAGGAGATCTGCTTCTAATCCTGCTGGACCTCTCAGTAGCATAGTATCCTTTAGGATGACCTACAACAGGGATCTTCAAACTTGGCCCTTTTATGACTTATGGACTTCAACTCCCAGAATTCCTCAGCCAGGCACGCAGGCTGAGGAATTCTGGGAGTTGAAGTCCCCAAGTCATAAAGGGGCCAAGGATTGGGGATTCTGTATTACAGTATAATGGGTCTGCTACTCGTTTTAAGGGGTGCTTCTATTCAATAAGATGGTGAGGTCAAATTTTCCAGTTCTTATGATGGATCTCAGAGATTCACCACCTCTTTCATTTTATTTAGCAATTCTACGAAGCAGCCAGGTCAGGTCACCTACTGTTCCACAGTGAGGTACATCAATGTGCTGATGATACCAAATTATGCAATTCCATCTTGGGTCAAAAAAAGGAAAATGCATTGGATGTTTTAACTCTTTAAGGATTGGAAGAGACAAACTCAAATCAAGCTGACAGAGGAGTTCTTGAGGAGAGGTCAAAACCATCAAGATGTCGGTTGCAGCCTTGTGATTGAGGCTTAGCTCTTTGTGTTTGTGTGCTATGCGGAGGCACCGACAAATAAGTCAGAGCTTAGATGGCAATGCCACCCTCAACATCTTGTCTGATTTATAACCCTCTCCAGAAGACTGAATGGCTGTTGATCAAGAAACTGTCTAGCTAGCTCCATATAAATTCAAAGGTTCGCCCTAAATGGGGTTGTACTTCTCTGAAGGTCCATGAGCTAACAGCTCTCCTGTTTGGATAACCCAAGGGTAGGCAACCTTGGCTCTTTTATGACTCGTGGATTTCAACTCCCAGAATTCCTGAGCCAGCCATGCTGAGGGGAAAGGGAGAGGTTTCCAAGCTGAGCCATTCCGGCTCAGGAATTCTGGGAGTTGAAATCCACGAGTCATAAAAGAGCCAAGGTTGCCTACCCCTGGGATAACCCAAGGAGAGGACAGGCAGAAACCCCTTGGCCAGGGGTAGGCAACCTTGGCTCTTTTATGACTCGTGGAGTTCAACTCCCAGAATTCCTGAGCCAGCATGGCTGGCTGAGGAGTTCTGGAGTTGAAGTCCACGAGTCATAAAAGAGCCAAGGTTGCCTACCCCTGCCCTTGGCTATCAGGACAGCCTGTTCTGGGACAGCCAAGTCACTGGTGCTCTTCCTAGCTTGCCTTCAGATTGCTGCAACATAGTCTGGTTGAGGCCACTCCTGAAGACCCATGTTGAAACTACAGTTGGCACAGAACGGGACAATTTGTTGGGGGTTGGGAAACAGTTCAACGAAAGAACATTTTCGTGTGGGCTGGGCTTCCAGGTGTAGTTCAAAGTGCTTGAAATTGCTTAAAAACCCTGGATGGTTCAGGTCCTTTTGATCTTTAGGATTGGCACAGCATCAAGCTGTCCTACACTTTCAACCCAAGTTATGTTACAGACTCCCTCCGCCCAGGAAATTAGGGGCCAGGAATCAAGCTTTTGGGGGGGTCTGCTCCAATTCATGGAATAGCTTGTCTGCCAAAAGGGTCCGAAACACCATTGGCATTGACAAATTCGCCATTAGTCAATTGCAAAAGGCGGCCTTACTAGGAACTGCTTCCATCCTGCGACGATATCTGTAATACCATCCAACATCCACATCTGCCTATCCCAGGTCTTTGGTAAGGACTCGATAGGTAGACAAAATGCCAAATCCAGTCTGAACATCTGGCTGACTGTGCGATGATGCATAATAATAATAATAATAATAATAATAATAATATAGAGAAAGTCATAGAATATGATAAAGTTAAACTGCTCTGGGACTTCAGAATTCAGACAGACAAGCACCTGCAACATAACACCCCGGACTTAACAATTGTCGATAAGAAAGACAAAAAAGTCTGGATAGTGGACGTGGCAGTGCCTGGAGACAGAAGAATAGAAGAGAAAGAACTGGTGAAGATAACAAAATACAAAGACCTACAAATAGAAATAGAAAGACTGTGGCAAAAGCAAGCAAGGGTAGTACCAATAGTCATAGGCGCCTTGGGTGCAATCCCAAAACAACTGGAGCACCACTTGAACACCATTGGCATTGACAAATTCGCTATTAGTCAATTGCAAAAGGCGGCCTTAGTAGGAACTGCTTCCATCCTACGACGATAACTGTAATACCATCAAACATCCACATCTGCCTATCCCAGGTCCTTGGTAAGGACTCGATAGGTAGACAAAATGCCAAATCCAGTCTGAACATCTGGCTCACTGTGCGATGATCAGTAGTAGTAGTAGTAGTAGTAGTAATAATAATAATAAAGTTGGAAGGGACCTTGGAGGTCATCTAGACCAACCCCCTGCTTAGGCAGGTAACCCTATACCAGTGGTTCTCAACCTTTCTAATGCTGTGACCCCATAATACAGTTCCCCATGTTGTGGTGACCCCCAAGTGGCTGTGGCCACCAATAAGAGGGAGTAGGACAGCTAGGGAAAAGGGAACAAAATGGTGGACAGCATGGTTTGGCGACCCCCATGAAATGGTCGTTCGACCCCAAATGGGGTCCCGACCCACAGGTGGAGAACCACTGCCCTATACCATTTCAGACAAATGGCTGTCCAGTCTCTTCTTAAAAACTTCCAGTGTTGGAGCATTCACTGCTTCTGGAGGCAGGTTGTTCCACTGGTTAATTGTTCTATTTATGGGAGGGGGGTTGGTTATCCCAATTCTTTTTTATTGGGAGCCTCACAACTGTGGCTGTAAAAAGAAATCCTGGATTTTACAAAGCTCTCTGGATATTCAAAAATACCACACAAAAAGGGTACGAGTCATTCTTTAAAGCAGAATAGAGGCAGTCCTCGGCTTATGACCACAATGGAGTCCAACAATTTTGTGGTTAAGTGAGGCAACTGTTAAGTGAGTTTCGCCCCCATTTTATGACGTTTCTTGCCCCAGTGGCTAAGAGAATCACTGAAGTTGTTAAGTTAGTGACACGGTTGTTTGTTAAACAAATCTGGCTTTCCCCATTGACTTTGCTTGTGAAGAGGTCACCAAAAGGTGATCACGTGATCTTGGGACGCTGTGACCGTCATAACTACAAGCCAATTGCCAAGCGTCTGAATTTTGATCATGTAACTCTGGGGATGCTGCAACGGTTGTAAGTATGAAAAACAGTCGTAAGTCACTTTTTTCAATCTCGTTGCAACTTCGAACGGTCACTAAATGAACTGTTGTAAGTTGAGGACTACCTGTATTGGTGGCTCAGGATTGAAATGGTCCTTGCTGCTTCCTGAGCTTGGCTGGTTTTTTTTGCAGACATTTCATTACCCAACGTCCTCAGGACCTGATGGTGTTACCTCGTTGGGTAATGAAACGTCTGCGAGAAAACAACCAAGCTCAGAGGGCATGCAGGATCAAGTCGTTCTTTCCTCTTGTCAGAGCATGCACAGTCTTATTGCGCTGAGGTAACCCAGGAGTAAATAGAGTACACAGTGGTCTGTATGAAATGGTGGTTTATATTACGCTATCTACATTATACACTAAAAAGAAAATACATACACGTGGTGAAACAACAAACTCCAATATACGGCTATTACAGAAGGAAACGGACGAGAGAGAGAGACACGTCAGCAAAAGCTTTCCCTTTTATACTCAGGCTCTTAAAGAGACACAGACTCTGCTGAGTCATTGCTATCATTGCATCATCCATCTTACATTACATTACATCGTACATCTCACATTATACAAGCTGGTTGGCTGTTAAATTATTACCTTGAAACCTCTTCTTTTTCAACCTTTATGGCAAAGCCCCCCAAATTACCTGGAGAACATTCAAGGATGTCCCCTTTATAGCCCGTTTCTTCTTCCAGTTCCCGTAAAGCAGCGGTCTCGGGGTTTTCGTTGCTATCAATCAGGCCTGTGGTGCAAATACACGACTTACAGGCAGCTCTGTCAAAAGGGAAGGGAAGGGCAGGGGAGGGAAGGGAAGGAAAGGGAAGGGAGGGGAGGGAAGGAAAGGGAAGGGAAGGGAGGGGAGGAAATAGGGAAAGGGAAGGAAAGGAAAGGAAAAAAGGAAAGGGAAGGAAAGGAAAGGAAAGGAAAAAGGGGAAGGGAAGGAAAGGAAAGAAGGAAAGGAAAGGAAAGAAAAAAGGAAAGGGAAGGGAAGGGAAGGGAAGGAAAGGGGAGGGAGGGGAGGGAAGGAAAGAAAAGGAAAGGAAAGGAAAAAAGGGAAGGAAAGGAAAGGAAAGGAAAAAAGGAAAGGAAAGGAAAAAGGGGAAGGGAAGGAAAGGAAAGGAAAGGAAAAAAGGAAAGGAAAAAAGGGAAGGGAAGGAAAGGGAAGGGAGGGGAGGGAAGGAAAGGAAAGGAAAGGAAAAAAGGGAAGGAAAGGAAAGGAAAGAAGGAAAGGAAAGGGAAGGGAAGGGAAGGGAAGGAAAGGGAAGGGAGGGGAGGGAAGGAAAGGAAAGGAAAGGAAAGGAAAAAGGAAAGGAAAGGAAAGGAAAAAAGGAAAGGGAAGGGAAGGAAAGGAAAGGAAAAAGGGGAAGGGAAGGAAAGAAGGAAAGGAAAGGAAAGGAAAGGAAAAAAGGGAAGGAAAGGAAAGGAAGGAAAAAAGGAAAGGAAAGGAAAAAGGGAAGGGAAGGAAAGGAAAGGAAAGGAAAAAAGGAAAGGGAAGGAAAGGAAAGGAAAAAAGGAAAGGGAAGGGAAGGAAAGGGAAGGAAAGGAAAAAAGGGAAGGAAAGAAAAGGAAAGGAAAAAAGGAAAGGGAAGGGAAGGAAAGGAAAAAGGGGAAGGGAAGGAAAGGAAAGGAAAGAAGGAAAGGAAAGGAAAGGAAAAAAGGGAAGGGAAGGGAAGGAAAGGGAAGGGAGGGGAGGGAAGGAAAGGAAAGGAAAAAAGGAAAGGAAAGGAAAGGAAAAAAGGGAAGGAAAGGAAAGGAAAGGAAAAAAGGAAAGGAAAGGAAAAAGGGGAAGGGAAGGAAAGGAAAGGAAAGGAAAAAAGGAAAGGGAAGGAAAGGAAAGGAAAAAAGGAAAGGGAAGGGAAGGAAAGGGAAGGAAAGGAAAAAAGGGAAGGAAAGAAAAGGAAAGGAAAAAAGGAAAGGGAAGGGAAGGAAAGGAAAAAGGGGAAGGGAAGGAAAGGAAAGGAAAGAAGGAAAGGAAAGGAAAGGAAAAAAGGGAAGGGAAGGGAAGGAAAGGGAAGGGAGGGGAGGGAAGGAAAGGAAAGGAAAAAAGGGAAGGGAAGGAAAGGAAAAAGGGGAAGGGAAGGAAAGGAAAGGAAAGAAGGAAAGGAAAGGGAAGGAAATGGAGTTCTCATCACAATTACTAAGCCAAAAGACCTCAATCTAATTACCTACCTGCAGGGAATTCCAAGCAATAGGCTCCTAAGGGAGGCCTAAATTGTTTCACTAGGACAATGCAATCATAGTGGAGAGTTCGCTGCAGCACGGGAATAACTGCCACACCTGCCAACCGAGAGGAGAAACAGGCAAAAACATGATTGCAAGTGTGAAAAGAGCTGGAGAGTCAGTACTCGTCGATAACCAGAGAATCCAGAGATATCTGGAGAACTTGTGTTAGTGCAGCAGCTGCCTTATTGGTCTTGGTGGGCAAAGGTCACTTGGTGGTGACCAATTGTTCTCTTTACGTTTAACCTAGTTTGCAGGAAATATTAGCTTCCTGGAGCCCCCCCCCCCCCGTGAAAAGGGGAGAAATCAGTGCCAAAATAAATATGCTTTCATTTACAAGACAAATCCGCATTTTTAAAAAAAAAATGGATCGTATCCTTTCCTTTGTTGAAGGAACTCAAAACAACTTAGGATGTTCTCCCACTTTCCCACACTCTTGTGGTGTAGGTGTAGCCAGGAGTGTGTGTGTGTGTGTGTGTGTGAATAGCCCAAGGGGCTTCTAAAAGGAATGTAGATTTGAACCACAACCTCCACAGTCTCAGATTTCACTGCAGTACTACCCTGTATTGCTTCCTTGGTTTGAAACACTGCTTTTTCAAGTTTCTACCCCCCCAGGTAGCCATTTCCACATTCTCGAATGCTGGAAAAGACTTTGAAGAACCTTCACGGATGAATTGAGAGTAGACTCTATCACAAACCTAACAGGAACATCCACAGAGCCAATGTTCCCACTGACACTGATTTGTGCTTTGTGGGGTCTTTTAATGCTCTCTGAGCTTGGTTGTTTTCTTGCAGACGTTTCATTACCCAACTAGGTGACTTCATCAGTGCCAGGACTGATTTGTTTTTTCTTACGTGTGTAATACACGTCCAGTTTGCTCATATAACAGTTATTGGGCAAGGGGATTTTTTTGACATGCATAGTAAGGAAAGTTGGCTTACCATCAGCAGAAACCCCTTCTCTCCTGGTAGTACGTTTCACCGATTCCCATATTCTGTTAAAAAAAAAAAAAATACAAGGGCGGAAAAGAAGATAAATGTCAAAACCTGAGTTTCAAAAGCTGTGATGGATAATGTCATTTTGACCAAAATGACTGTGCTTTTTTTTTCTTTGAAAAGTTTGCTTTACTTAATCAAGTTTTCTAATCTATCTGCCTATCTGCCTGCCTGCCTGCCTGCCTGCCTATCTGTCTGTCTCTGTCTGTCTATCTCTATCTATCTACCATATCTATCTACAATATCTAACTATAGTATCTGTCTGTCTGTCTATCTAGAGTATCGAAGTACAGTACCTCTATCTATCTATCTATCTATCTATCTATCTATCTATCTATCTATCTATCTATCTATCTATCTATCTATCTATCTATCTACAATATCTAACTACAGTATCTGTCTGTCTGTCTGTCTGTCTATCTATCTATCTATCTATCTACAGCAGTGGTTCTCAATCTTTTTAATGCCGCGACCCCCAACCGGTCGTAAGTCGAGGACTACTCAACCGGTTGTAAGTCGAGGACTACTCAACTGGTGCAGCACCGTTTGCAGAATGGGACTTTTGGCGGGCTCAGCAGGGCAGAGACAGCCTGGACAATTCCTATTGGCTTTTGAAAGCCAATAGAATTAGACTCTATTCAAGAGAGTCTATTCTATTGGCTTTCAAAAGCCAATAGAATAAAAGGGAGTAGCACAGCTAAGGAAAAGGGGGAAAAAATGGTGGACTGCGTTGTTTGGCGACCCCCGTGAAATGGTCGTTCGACCCCAAATGGGGTCCTGACCCACAGGTTGAGAACCACTGATCTACAGTATCTACCTACCTACCTATCATTTAATGATTTAATATTTTTTTAGTTATTTATTTATGTAGATTTTTTTAGAAGTTTTCCATTATCTAGGCACAGGAAGCACCAAGATAAGGCTTTAGGACTCTATTTTTGGAGGAGTTAAGACAATTAAATATTTACTTTGGGGAGGGGGGGAACTGTAATATGGTGCTGCCAAAAACGATGCATTTGGTCACTCAGTTTTGATAGGTTACCCTGATGACGTGGTGTGGAGCTGCAGGCTAAATCATGTATGTGACCTGCAAATTCTTTCATTAAGCATTATATGTGAACCGTACCACCGTGGCTTCTGGTATAACTTATGTTTTAAACAAACTATGGTTTAGCACAGTATGGAACTCAGCTACTCAGTACAAATTGGTCTGATAATTACTGATTTACCCAATAGTTAATAATAATAATAATAATAATAATAATAATAATAATAATAATAATAATATAAAGTTGGAAGGGACCTTGGAGGTCATCTAGTCCAACCCTATACCATTTCAGACAAGTGGCTGTCCAGTCTCTTCTTAAAGACCAAATAAAAGATAGGATGGGTACCTTGTTTGACCGGTTGGATCAACGTAAGTGGTTTGGTCAAGCTTCACCCATTTTCTTTGAGTAATGGTCTGAAAAGGAAAAAAAAAGCCTCAATTAAATCCTCGTTTAAATCACCAATGTGTGGCTAACAACAACTCAATTGGAAGGCAACAAACTCCAGAGAGATCCAACTGTGTAACCTATAATAATTTTTAATATGCTCTAATAAACAGACAAAATATTAAATATATTACTGGGGAGGAATAATGTTAACTAAATGTGAATTAAATCAAATGCAAGTGTTTTTTTTTTTTTGCCTTGACTGTACCCTGCTCGAATAATGATAGCCCAAAGGCCTTGACTTTCAAAAATGAGGCATCCTTGCCCAGGACAAGAAAAATGGTGAGGCTCCTATCCAAAGGACAACACACAAATCATGAAATGAAGGAAAAAATTCTGGGAGTTGAAGTCCACAAGTCATAAAAGGGCCATATTTGAAGACCCCTGCACTAAACCTATCATGGATCAGAAATTCGCTGAGACACAATTACAAATATTGTCCTTTAAGTTAGAGCAGGTTTATCCTGGCACTCAAAAGTTTTTAATTATCTGCTGTGAGGTAAACAACAACAAAAAAACCCCCAAAAGATCACAATGTAAGGAAGATTTGTTACTGAGGAAAAAAAACCACGTTTTATGGCACTTATAACAGCTGGAAGGGACCTTGGAGGTCATCTAGTCTAACCCCCTATTCAGGCAGGAAACCCTATACCATTTCGGACAAATGGCTGTCCAGTCTTTTCTTATAAACTTCCAGTGTTGGAGCATTCACAGCTTCTGGAGGCAGGTTGTTCCATTGGTTAATTGTTCTAACTGTCAGGAAATTTTTCTTTAGTTCTAGGTTGCTTCTCTTCTGGATTAGTTTCCATTGTGGAGAAAGAGCAAACTAAATAAACAAAATATTATCCTTTACTAGCACTTTCCCATATTCCTTACAAGCCAATAGACACTTGATTACTAATATCCAAAACTCGCCTAACGTTAGTATACATAACGCCTTCAATGCGAGCCAAGCTATGGATTGAAAAGGATCTTTACGCTTGCTTACAAAGAAGTAGGTCATATATTCAATAAGAGCTACTCTCTAATTGCTTTCATCAATGTTCAGTCATTTCTGCCAAGGCCACACAAATTTCCTTTCATTGAGACTTCATTAAGGCAATGGATATTTGGCAAAAACTGTGGGAAAGAACTAGGAAACTCACTTTAGCTACCTCATAAAAGGAAAATCTTTACAAGATGTTTTATAGATGGCATTTCCCACCCGTAAGGCTAGCCAAAATGGGTTCAAACATCTCACCCCTATGCTGGAAATGTAAAACAGCAATAGGATCATACTACCATATGTGGTGGGAATGCCCAAAGACTCATGAGTATTGGAACAGGACACGAAACTGGTTGAGGGATATATTAACACTGGACTTAGAGTTAAAACATGAACTCTTCTTGTTGGGAATAACGACAGAAAAATACGACAAGGGAACAATCTACCTGCTGCTACACATCCTGACTGCAGCTAGGCTTGCCTTTGCGCAAAAATGGAAGAGCAAGGAAATTCCCACAGAGGAAGAGTTAATACATAAAATATTAGCCTGTGCGGAAATGGACAGGCTCACAATGATATTAAAAGACAAATATGGATCAGTTTATTATGAAACCTGGGATAAATTTTACCACTGGAGGAATCCGAAGAGGACGGTCGGGATTAAAGATGAATGTTAAGATAGAAATATATATTATTTTAGAATAAGTATTGTATATAAAACCTAGATCAGTGGTTCTCAACCTGTGGGTCGGGACCCCATTTGGGGTCGAACAACCATTTCACGGGGGTCATCAAACAACGCAGTCCGCCATTTTTTTCCCCCTTTTCCTTAGCTGTGCTTCTCCCTTTTATTCTATGGGCTTTTGAAAGCCAATAGAATAGACTCTCTTGAATAGTCCCATTCTGCAAACGGTGCTGTACCAGTTGAGTAGTCCTCGACTTACGACCGGTTGAGTAGTCCTCAACTTACGACCGGTTGAGGGTCGCAGCATTAAAAAGGTTGAGAACCACTGACCTAGATGTATATGTAGAGATGAAGAATTGATTGTAAAAAGTGGAATAATCTGATAAGAATGTATATACTGGAATGTCACGTTAAATCCAATGTTTGTTTGTTTGTAAGTGTATTATAAATAAAATTTGTAAAAAAAAAAAAAGACTTCTGCAATGGAGCCCACCCGTCTCGTAACCTCCAGACTGTGCATTACAAAGTCATCTTCTGAGCTCCCAAAAACTCACATTCTAGCAAAAAGTAGGCAGCTGAATGTAGAGAAATATTTTTGCCGCATCACTGAAAGGGCCAATTTCACGGTGGGGAAACAGAGGCAGTCCTCGACTTACAAGCTCATTTAGTGACAATTCAAAATTAGAACAGCCCTGAAAAAAGTGGCCGTTTTTCACACTTACGACTGTCGCAGCATCCCTCCACGGTCACGTGATCAAAATTCGGACGCTTGGCAACTTGTTCGTATTTACGACGGTCACAGTGTCCCGGGGTCACGTGATCCCCCCCTTTGCGATCTTCTGACGAGCAAAGTCAATGGGGGGGAAGCCAGCTTCACTTAACAACCGTGTGACTAACTTAACATCTGCAGTGATTCACTTAACAACTGCAGTTGTAAAGTGGGGCAAAACTCCCTTAACAAATATTTCACCGAGCAACAGAAATTCTGGGCTCAGTTGGGCTTGTTATCTGTAACACATTTGCAGAAAAAAAAAACCCAAAGAAATAAAATGACTCTTGAACCTAACATTGATCACAGTAAGTTGCACTGGAGTAAAATGATGGCAGTTAAACCCCACATACCTCTTCTCTGATGATGGTTTCTTGGGCAGACTTTTGAGCTTCAACAGATGCTTCTTTTTCCATTTTCAGGAATGTTGGTTGCTTCTTCTCAGGACAAAGTTCACTTTTCTACAAACCAACCAGAATCAATATTTGTCCTTCAGCATCACGTCTGGCCATTCATCCTTTTCGTGCTCAGTTGACAAACCGTCTCTTCAGCAAATATTAACAAACATTAACAAACTGTAGCCTTAAATCAAGTAAGGAATATGCTGGTTGGATGGATAGGGGGGAAACCATCAGCCAGTTTAGCCCAATCCTGTCATTATCCTAAAAGAAGTTGATCGATACGAGCAAATATTTTGCTACAGTCAGAAATCAGAGCAAAAGAACTTTGACATGTTGGGATTGCAGTCGGTTTGATGAGTTAATGAATTTCAGCACCGTTTGATCCATTGAAAAGAGAAACTTCCCATTCTGGGTTTTTTTTTTTTTTTAAATGTAAAAGTTAACAGCAACAAGATGTAATTTTACAAAGAGGGTTTCTGTCATTGGTCATGAAAATCTTAACTTACCTAAAATTCAAATGTGCACTTGTTGTTAAATTAGGATGACGACCTTTTTATGGATCGGACAACAGTTTTTAAATTATTTTCAAAAAAGAAAATGTCACATATGGTACTTTAATAACATGGAAGAGGATGGAATATAAAGAGGGGTTGTGTATAATGAAGAATGGCTGCAGGACTTGGGTTTGGCTAGTCTAAAGAAAAGAAGAAATAGGGGTGACATGATAGCAGTGTTCCAGTATCTGAGGGGCTGCCACAAAGAAGAGGAGGGGGGGGGGTCACGCTATTCTCCAAAACACCAGAGGGCAGGACAAGAAACAATGGTTGGAAACTGATCAAAGAGAGAAGCAACCTGGAATTAAGAAGAAAGTTCCTAACAGTGAGGGCAATTAACCAGTGGAACAGTTTGCTTCCAGAAATTGTGGGTGCTCCATCACTGGAGGTTTTTAAAGAAGAGACTGGATAGTCACTTGTCTGAGATGGTATAGGTTCTCCTGCTTGAGTGGGGGGCTGGACTAGAAGACCTCCAAGGTCCCTTCCAGCTCTATTCTATTCTATTCTATTCTATTCTATTCTATTCTATTCTATTCTATTCTATTCTTCCATTCCATTCCATATTTTCTATTCTATTCTATTCTATTCTATTCTATTCTATTCTCATTATGTATCATATATTATGTCTATTTTAGGACTTCCTCAATTGTTCTTACATGTTTTCCTTCAGAATGTCAGGAAATTAGGCCATATTTTTTTATGAGCAATCAGGGAAAGCTAGTACAGATCGTCGACTTACAATCGTTCATTGAGTGAGTGACTGTTCAAAGTTACAACAGCCCTGAAAAAGGTGACTTCTGACCTGTTTTCATATTTACGACCGTTGCAGCCATCCCCGTGGTCACGTGATTGAAATTCACACGCTTGGCAACTGACTCATATTTATGACAGTTTGCCGTGTCCCGGGGGGGGGCACGTGATCCCCTTTTGCGACCTTCTGACAAGCAAAGTCCATGGGGGGGGGGAAGCCAGATTCACTTAACAACCGGGTTACTAACTTATGAACGGCAGCGATTCACTTAACAACTGCGTCAGGAAAGGTTGTAAAAACGGGGCAAAACTCACTTTACAAATGCCTCATTTAGCCATAGAAATTTGGAGCTCAATTAAGGTTGTAAGTCGAGGACTACCTGTATTAAATAAGAGGGTTTGGATCAAGGTTAATCAAGGGTTTGGATCAAGGTTAATCGAGGTTAATCAGAAATATCAGCTCTGCATAAAATCGACTGGAACTCTAGACAGGCTAAAGGTAACTACCTAAGGTCTTCAGAGGACAGTCTGCTCTCTTGGACAACAATTGAGAGTGCAACAACCTTCCATTAGGACAAAGTCCTGCAAAGATTTTTTCAGCCAAAGGTAATCTCGGAATGCTCCAGATTTAATTAGTGAAAACTATCCCACAATTCATATCAATTTTACAAGTTTGTTAGAATGTTTTGAGTTTAGCAGGGCCGTCCATATCCTTGATTTTGATTTTTTTTTTTTTGCATAGCCATTGTTTATTGGAAGCGAAGACCCCCTTAGCACACGTTAAATGCTGCAAAGCAATCTTTTCTGACGAACGATGACACAGCTAGGGTGACCATATTTTCTTGCAAAACACAAAGAACGCAGCTGAATAACAGGGCAAACCTGAAAGAGGTTTGTAAGGATAGGAAGAAAAAAAAATGTAGGTGATTAGGTCCATAACTTTGCAGAAGAAAATTTGAGAGCAAATCCGAGAAAAACTTTGCAAAAGGACATAGTCTAATAAAAATGTCTAGAACAGGGATTTTCAACCTTTTCACCCATTGTGCCACAACATCCAAGTACCACCAGTCGCCTAGCAAGGTGTCAAAAACTTGATGACCAAAAAAAGAGAGAGAGAGAGAGAGAGAGTAAAGTGATAAAATACAGGTAGTCCTTGACTTACAACAATTCGCTTAGTGACTGTTCAAAGTTACAATGGCACTGAAAAAAGTGCCCCCCCAAGGCACAGCTGAGCAAGACACCTGCCTGCCCACCCGGCGGTGCTCTTCCTCCTGTCTGAGGTTTTCATTGTTATGAGCATTTCTGTTGAGGATTTGCAGCCGGGGTGGGGTGGGGGGGGTGTTTGGTTTTTATTCCCCCCCTCTGTCTGCTGGGTGGTTGCAGCAGGTTTTAGTCACTTCACATGACCCAGGGACACTGTGACCGTGATAAATATGAATCCGTTGCCAAGCATCTGAATGTAAATCACAAGACCCTGGAGAGGCTGCAACATTCCAGCTGATCAGCGCTTCTTCTGGGCTCAGCAGAAGTACTAGAATCAGTGCTGCTTTCCAGCTGATTGGTGCTTCTTCTGGGCTCAACAGAAGCACCAGGATCAGAGCTGAGCTCCAGCTGGAGCCTGGCGCTGATCCTGGCACTTCCACTGAGCCCTGACAGCCCCGAAGAAGCACCAATCAGCTGGAAAGCAGCACTGATCCTGGCGCTTCCGCTGAGCTCTGACAGCCCTGCAGCTCCAGCCATCTCTCGCTCAGGCTTCTGTGGTACTGCCACCGGTTCAGTTCATTCCCCTCCCCCGCTACCACTTTTCTAGGATGGTTGCGTATCACCTGCCAGGTGCCAATGTACCATAGGTGGTACCCGTACTACTGGTTGAAAAGCCCTGGTCTATAAAGCATAAGAAGCTATAAAGTTCTAAGAAGCAAGTATTAAAAAGGACATTCTGCAGTCAGACTATACATTAAATGGTAACACTTGAAGGCAATAAAGTTATTCTTTTATAAAATTGTAGAAAAATAATTGTAGAAATGTAATGCCAATATCTGAGACTGTCTATTTAACACAAATGTAACACTGTAACATAAATGTAGCAATGCACTGCCAAATGTGTGAGAAGGTTTGTTCAACGTTCACTGCCTAAAAATCCCTCCGGAAACAGGAACTTACACTTTGAGTAGAAATCCTACTATTAAAGAGGGGGATTTTGACCCAAGGTGAAAATTACAAATAAATAAGATAACAGCAGATGGACGGAAGAGGTGAGGTTAACGAAGTACAACTTCAAAGTACATCTATAAAGATGAAAGAGCTTCTTAGATGTGACATGCATTGTAGGGGTATAAAATGCAAAACTTGAAACCAGGCCAGTGTGCTCCTGGAACTCAATCCATTGGGAAGGATCCAGGAGGCCGTGTTTGCAAACGCCTCTTCTCTTCTCTTTTCTCTTTCCTTTTTATTCTTTTTATGTTATTCTCCAATAAACTTTTGTTTTGTTAACCAGACTTGTCTTCGTATTGTGAGTATCAAAATTTGGGGTTTTTACATCTCACACACTTGTATAAGTTAAATGGACAAAACAAAGGATAAAACTCACTTTTTGAAAAATAAATCTATTGATCCTTGAAAGAGCAGGTTTCTGAAATAAAGGACTGTCCTTTTTAATCAATCAATCAATGATATGTGGTCAATTTAACCTTTAATGGCAATCTTTGGCAAGGACAAATGTTAGAAATAAATTACAGGTTTAAATTAAGCATCAGGATAGTTTATCACTTCTGGTGGACAATACAATGGTACTTTCTACAAGTGGAAAATTTGGAAGTCCTGCTGATTGTAGAAGCTTTGATTTGAACCAAATTATCCACCCATCACTTCAACTGAAATCAATGGGATATGTTAGGTAAGAATACCTGATAACAACATTTCATAGGTTATAATTAGTATCTAATTTAATTAAATAATAAAAAGCAATTTCCTAATGCTTTGTATGAAGCATAAACTGTAAATTATTTTAGATAACTTGTTCAGAGCAATTAGTTTTTAAGGGAAAGATGCCAATTATCTCTATTTCTTGTTTTTAAAATCTTTTTTAAAGCCACCAAGCTGTAAACTGTCAGTGGGTGTTCATCTGACGTTTTAAATGGATTTTTTAAAAATATTACTTTACTTAAGCTTGTTGGTCAAAAAGAAGTACTCTCCTTTTACACAGTATTGTTTGGAATTTCTAATTTTTAAGTCTATATTATTAATTCATGGATTAATGCATGGATTAATTACATTTGCATGATTAATGTCTCAAGCAAGGGCAAAAGAAAAGGCAAGCTCTCCGCCTCTTTTCCTTTCTCCTTTGCTTCCTGTTCCTTTAATACTATAAAGAGAAAAAAACTTTAAAAGATTTAAAAACTTTTGGCAAAAAAATTGGATGTTAAAAAGTTTAAAATAGATAAAGAGGATAGTTATTTTGAAGGATTATTGGAGAAGTGTTTTTTATCCAACTGGAATTAAATTAGATCAATGAACATTGATGGTGGGAATGTTATTTTGTTAATTGGTAGGAATGTTATTTTGTTAATTATTAAAGAGTGCAGATAATTGGTAGATTTTGCAAAACAGAAGATAAAAGGAAAACGAGTCAGACTGTAACTACCCAGTGCCATTAGAAATCCATGTTTCTCAAGCTCAGCAACTTTAAGTGGACTTCAAGTCCCAGAATTCCCTGGCCAGTTGGCTGGGGAATTCTGGGACTTGAAATCCACTTATTTTAAAGTTGCTGAGCTCGAATAATATGGGTTAGAGTAGACTCTGCACTTTGCAACCCACTCTAACAATATGTACGCAGTGCAAATCAGGAGCTCAGCACAAGCACTCTGCACATGCTCAATTTCTCTCTGCTCCCGCATCAACCCAACAGCTGCCACCTCCTCTTGCGATACTCGCGAGTTGGCGGCAGGACGACGCCTCTAACCGTCTCTGCTCGCCGTTGTCCCGGCCAGGAGTCTAAGAGTCTCTCCGCGCCGTTCCGGTCCTTTCCGCTCCGCTGATTGGCCAAAAGCAGCAGGAAGCTCGCCGAACCCTCGCGCGCCCGACTAGCCAGCGATGGGAAAGACCGTCCGATGGTACGGCCCTATGGGTGACCGATTCTGTCACGCATGCGCATATTGAGCGACTTTGGACGCCTGCCTCACTTTCATTCGCTTGGAAGCGCGAGGCCCCTAGAGATAGGAAAATTAGAGCCGTCCTCACGTCTCCTTGAGGTTATTTGTTGTAATTATCATTTTGGTTTTCAACTTAAATAAGATATGTGTCTACATCTAGTTGAATTAAAACTTAAAATAATGTTCTCATTCTGTTTCAAAACAGAAACAAAGCACTCAGGGTAAATAAACCTGGAGTTTCGCTTGTAAGCTTCCGATTGACTTATGTCTATATGACTAACCGGGATCCTCCTACAGAGTACTTTTTTATCACAGATTGGTTAATAAAAATGCCTGTCACTTACCAGCTCCAAACAAAGCTAGCCTTTCCGGCTTTCCTTGGAGGGCAGTGCTAACCACGCAAGGCTTTTCATTAGTCGAAGAACAATCCGTTAGCCAATAAGAAGAAGGCGTGAGGTCCCGCCTGCTGCACTCGTTGATTGGTCGGCTCCTCCAGGAGCCGCTGGGACGATGGTGTAGCAGGTAAAATAAGCGAGCTGGAAGAGCAAACCCGGGTGCGGGGCTGGGGAGGCTGCTGAAAGTGTGTGAATGCATAGGGATACTCGTGTATTCCTACGCACACGTGTCTGAGTGACAGAGCTTGTTGCTGTTGGGTGCTTATATGTGAATAAGCAGCTGATGATGATTATATACGTATATAAATATATAGAGAGAATTCTTTATTCTTTATTGTCCAGGCATGACACACAAGCAGTTTACACACACACACACACACACATACACACACACACAAACATAATTATAAAATATATATGTCTGTGTTTATATATTTAATATACATACATAGATACACATATACATACATATATATATCTGTATGTATGTATACATACTGCATATGTGTGTGTATAGGTACATATGTTTGTATGTGTGTATAATTTCAGAGAGTCCTCGGTGCTTTAGCTTGCTTGCTTACTTATGTATTTTATTATTAAATTTATTTGCCACCCATCTTGTTTCGATGTGATTCAGAGCCACTACATTTAATATTGTGCGATATAAATCTACCAGCCAATTTCTTTTGGCAAGTCTGAAAATTGTTTGAGACTGATGTGAAGGATTCTTATTAAAATGGCAAAAAAAAATGCTCATTAATAGCTGTTGTTCTCTTTCCTTGTTTTTCCCTTTTTGTCTTCCTGTGGAATTTGGGGGCTCTGCATCAGTTATGGATGAGAAAAAAAAGAACAATTAAGTGACATCTGTATGTTCAAAGTTGGCCTAAGCAGCAGATCATATCAGATGTTTAAGGAAACATCTTTCAGGAAAAAAGACCACTTTGAAATTGAGCTACTCTGACCTCCATTTAGCCACCAAGAAAGTCCTTAGTTATGTTTCTCTCAGGTGTTTCTCCAAGTTGGAGAAATAATTGTATAATTCCAAAGATGAGCTGAGGCTTTGAAGAATCTCCAGTTAAGGTATCACCTCAGGAGTCAAAGGTTGATGAGCTTTCTAAGGCAGGAAAAACCAGACATAGAAAAACTAGGTATAACCGATTAATAATCTGTTTGCAGAACTAGGAAGTCTTCTGCTCAATCTGTGGGTTTTATACCAACTTATACTCAATCTATGGGACAACATGAAGAAGTGTTGATTCTTTTGGACTCTGATATTGGAGTAGGTTTCTGAGAAAACCATGGATAGCCAAACCTCCTCCCCACCCCAAACAAATGGCTCATAGAACACATTAAATAGAGTCCTGACTTAAGGCAGAAATGACTGGGCTCAAATTATCATATTTTGGACCTATTGTGTGAAAACCTAGTTTTTTGAGAAGTCCATAATTCTGGGAAGAATGGAAAGGAGGAGAAGAAGAGGGAGAAGTAGTAGTAGTAGTAGTAGTAGTAGTAATAGTAGTAGTAAGTAGTAGTAGTTAGGTGGATGGCTTTGACATAGTGGCAGGGATTGAAAGACAGGTCCAATCCCTGGGATTGAGACAAGTCATTTTGTGACTGTAGAACAAGGGTGGGCAACTATGCCCCCCCCATGACCTGTGAACTTCAACTCCCAGAATTCCCCAGCTGGAATCCTAAGCCTACATTGCCAGAATTCCTGAGACACTCAAAAGGGGAAATATACACTTTTTAGATACACATGTTCAAAACTGAAAGCTGAGGATATTTCTCTGGTTAGGGAAGTCAAATCTCAGCACAAAGAACAACGCTTCTCTATCTCTTTGGTCTTCTTAAAATATATCCTTCCCATAGATAACCTGTAATACAGAGTAAAATATTTAGTATTTAGTAAACATGTTAAAGAAACGAAGTGTCCCTATTCAGTCCTTCTGCCTTTAATGAATGGGGTAAAATGGTTGCCTGCACTCGTCTTCAAATGTTGAGTCGCGTTGTTTTCTTTCATGCAGAACTGCCAGCCGTATTTTGAATATAAAGATGAAGAAAGAACAGATACTCAATTGTCAGTTTTCTTCCTGGTATCCTCGTTTCAAGAGGCAGACGATCCGCAGGTACCCGAGACTAATTTCCACCTTGAATTAGATAGAAAGCTTGTCCCAAAGGTGCTTTTTCAGGAGGCAACGGACTTTCTTGTTTTTCTTGGAAGACACTTCGCTTCTCATCCCAGAAGCTTCTTCAGCTCTGACTGGCTGGTGGGGAATGGAAGGAGCTGAGCTGAAGTCAGAGCTGAAGAAGCTTCTGGGATGAGAAGCGAAACGTCTTCAAGGAAAAATAAAGGAAGTCCAGTTGCCTCTTGAAAAACCACCTTTGGGACAACCATGACCTGGATGACAGAGAATCTCCATAGACACGTTTAGACAGAGGCTTATTTCTATAGAATTCTCTGCTGAAACACCTTATGGGAATTCCTTAGAGATTTCTAATAGTTTGTGTATGAGGTTTCTGTATGCAAGACAGAATCAGCCAGTCTTTAGGGACAGATTAGAAGCCTGTTTGTTATTTTGCTTAAAACAACATGAAGAAGTGAAGCCTTCTCATAATGAAGCTGAGTTAAGCAGGATTAACCCCCTAATGGGGGTAGTCCTCGATTTACGGCCATAATGGAGCATATCCAAGACAGTCGTAGGTCACAACCGTCTTGTCGCGCAGCAGTCGTTAAGCAAATGCTGCAGCCGTTAACGAGAATATCATAGTTTTAAGGAAACCAAGGGCTTGTTACGGGTGTGGTTTTGCTGAAAACTGAAAGTAACTGCCAATTTGGGGCAAAATTTTCATAAAATGTAAACATGTGACCATGGGCCATTGCAAATGGCTGTAAATGTAGCCTGGTTGCCGAGCAACCAAAATTCATTGGAACTTTGAATCTGGGTCGTAATTGGCTCCCTGGTCAGTCTGTCATAATTGGAACAGCTGCTAAGCAACCAGTCATAAGTCAAGGACTGTCTTGTGTGAGTCTTTTTAAGAAAATAAATGCTGATGTTTAAAAAAAAAAGAATGAGAAACTGGGCTTAATGATAACAGAAGTTCTAGTCCAACCCCCTTTTGGTAGTGTTTTACATTTCGAACATTTTTATTATTTTTTTCCTCTCACATTTTCAATGTTTTGTTTTTTGTTTTTTTTAGCAGGGATTGGCATGAGAATTTATTACCGGTTTCAACGCAGTTAATACAAGTAGTTCTCAATTTACAACCGCCATTGAGCCCAAAATTTCTGTTCTGCTAAGTGAGACATTTCTTCAGTGCGTTTTGCCCCATTTTATGACCTTTCTTGCCACAGTTGTTAAGTGAATCACTGCAATTTATAAGTTAGAACCTGGTGGCTACATGAATCTGGCTTCCCCATTGACTTTGCTTGTCAGAAGGGCGCAAAAGGGGATCACGTGACCCCAGGACACTGCGACCGTCATAAAGATGAGTCAGTTGCCAAGCATCTGAATTTTGATCATGTGACCATGGGGAGGCTGCAAAGGTCGTAACTGGAAAAACAGTCCTAAGTCACTTTTTTCAGGGCCGTTGTACCTTTGAACGGTCACTAAATGAACTGTTGTTAAGTCGAGCACTACCTGTATAACTGAACTACCCTAGCAGCAGATATTTGCACAAAGTGTAAAATAGTCGCTCTCCTTGCCGTGTCTTCAGATTTATGGGGTTTCTAAACTTTTCATTTTTAAATCCTTTTCCATCTTAGTGTCATTCTTCCAATACCACAGAATGTAAAGGATTACTTGCTAGATGATGGAACCCTGGTGGTTTCTGGAAGGTAAGAAAATTCGCTTAAAGATTTAGATATATTTTAAAAACAATTATGTCTGTCTAAATACAGCGGCAGCTTTTCTATCTTCTTTTCTATGAGCACTGTGCCTTTAATGACACAAGAGTAAAATATGAATACTGTATACAATTCTTTAGAAGCATCGCCGGTCAAAATTTGTGCCGCAATAAATCTCTGAGGAAATGGAAGCTGACTTAAACTCTCTAAGGCAGGGGTCCCCAACCTAGGACCGCAGCCCACTACAGGGTCGTGGCCTACCAGCCACCGGGCTGTGGGACAGGCTGGCCAATGCGCACACTCACCCCCACTCACACTAGTGCCCCCAGACCCGTTTGCGCATGCACGTGGGGCTAGCGCCTGCGCAAATAGAACTGCTAGCGCGTGTGGGGTGTCATGGTTCCGACAGATGAAACTCTTCAAAGAACTTCGAGGCATTGTTTACCTTAAAGAATCTTTATTTAAGAAGCATAGCATTGGCATTAACACAACTGAAACCAAAAACTGGATTCCCCTTCCCTGAGCACACAGTATCAAAGCACAATTCCCTCTTCCAATTAACAGTCATAAATCACATTCTCCTATTAGTTTGAAATGCAGGCTCTCCCTCCGGTTCTCCAGCCCAGCCAATTCTTATCATCTCTTATTTCAATAACCTTGGTTCTCACCCTAGGTCCAGTGTTATTATGTCTAACTAAACTCTCATGCACATTCCTCCCTCCCCCCTAGCATCATCTAACTCTAAAAATCAAACATAAGAAGAAAATGGTTGCATCTCTAACTATTGTCAAAGCGAAAACATCCGATGTTAGCAGCATTGACACGGGAGTTGTACAGCCAGTTTGCACATGCGCATGGCTGCTAGTGGCTGTGGGTAGCTCCGGCGTGCCTGCGCAAACAGGGCCGCCAGCACCGTGTGGGTACATGCAGCCCCATTCACGTGCACGCGCACACAAATTTCCCAGCTGTTCCCTTTCCCTCCGGGCCGCCAGCATGAAAAGGTTGGTGACTTCTGCTCAAAAGTGCAAAGAGAAGTATCACGCATTTTTCAAACCTGGAAAGCAAATTTGAATGTGTGCAAAGGTTTCTAACTCTATCATCAGTACAAGTTCTCAATTTAGTGACCATTCAATGTTATAACGGCACTGAAAAAAAGGGACTGAGGATCGTTTTTCGCACTCGACCGTTGGTCACGTGATCAAAATTCAGACGCTTGGCAACCGGTTCATACTTATGATGGCCGCAGTGTCCCGAGGATCATGGGACCCCCCTTTTGCAATCTTCTGACATGCAGAGTCAATGGAGGAAGCCAGATCCACTTAACAGCCACTTTAACTTATCACCTGCAGTGATTCACTTAACAACTGGCAAAAAAGGTCCTAAAATGGGACAAGCTCACTTAACAACTGTTTCACTTAGCAATATAAACGTTGGGCTCCATTGTGGTCGTAAGTCGAGGACTACCTGTAGTTTACAACACTTCTTTGGTAGAAGGAAACAGCTTCCAAACAAATGTTTTCGCCGAAGCAACAATTTCAAACGTACGCCAAATCTTAGATCATCTTACTGAGTGTTTTCCTACAATAACAATTCTCTGCTTAATATGAACATCATAGCTTTGAATTGGAAAAAAATACTATTAATTGGCTAAAACAGATCACTTTCCTCTTGAGTTTTTCCTGAACTGTTTGTTTTAAAGATGTTTTTCAGACATTACATTTGATAAAGGCTACCATAATAAAAATTAAAACTTTAGGATTTGATTAGACAAAGATTTCACCTTTTGGTTTCTTATTTAGAGAAGATCCCCAAACAATAACCCAAGAAGATGGTGGCGATGAAGAAGAGGCAGAAGAAGCTGTGGTTTGTAGAAACTGTGATACTCTAATTCAGGGGTCTTCAAACTTGGCCCTTTTATGACTTGTGGACTTCAACTCCCAGAATTCCTCAGCTAACGTGCCTGGCTGAGGAATTCTGGGAGGGGGTCTTCCAACTTAGCCCTTTTATGACTAGTGGACTTCAACTCCCAGAATTCCTCAGCCAGGCATGCTGGCTGAGGAATTCTGGGAGTTTAAGTCCACCAGGCATAAAAGGGCCAACTGCTCTAACTGTTCTTTGTCTCTGATATATCAGCCCTCAATCTAGAATTCCTTACCTTTTCCATAAGTATTAAAGTTATGGCTGAATTATGAAAAAAGTAGACTTTTTTTCTTCAAGTGGACACTCTCTTGGTCCTTTCCTACTTGAACAACCTTGGCTGATCTAGAAAGCTAAACAAGTTTGGCCCAGGTAGCACTTAGCAAGGAGATCACCAGCACTTCTTAAGACTGTAGTGTAAACTAGGAAGTATAAAAAATCCCAGAAGAACACAAATGGAAAAATCGTTCTTATAATGCAGACATGTCAAACACAAGGCCCGGGGGCCGGATGTGGCCCGCAAAGTGGTTTCATGTGGCCTGTGAAGCCATCCTGGAAACAGTGAGGGAACGGCCCCCACTGCCTTGGCCCTGGCTCAGGTTGGCCAGGAGCTAATGTACAATTTTGTGGTGGCCATTTTGGCACTTGCCCCGGTGGACCATGCCTTGGCACTTGCCCTGGTCCCACCCCCTTCTGCCAGAGACCCTCAGATCTGTCCCACTCCTGCCCAGGCCCCCACAGCACCCTTGACATGAACGATGTAGAGCTGGCCATGCCCACCCAGTAGGCCACACCCACTCCCTCCACGGCCACCCAGTAGGCTGCACCTACCCTGGCCACACCCACCCGGCCCCCTGAGGGCAACCGCAATGCTGATGCGACCATCAATAAAATTGTGGATGAGATGATTTGAACTTTGAACCCATTCCCAAAGGAGCTTTTTTCAAAAGGCAGCGGGACTTTTCTTTGTTTTTCCCTTGAAGACGTTTCGCTTCCCATCCCAAGAAGCTTCTTCAGCTCTGACGGAACGGTGGGGGAGGAAATGGGAGGATTTGTATTCTTCCTTGCAGTCCTCTGAACTCAGGAGAGCTAACGACCAGATGAGTTCAAGGAATACAAATCCATCCATTTCCCTCCCCACACTGTTCAGAACTGAAGAAGCTTCTGTGATGAGAAGCGAAATCTCTTCAAGGAAAAAACAAAGAAAAGTCCAGTTGCCTTTTGAAAAAGCACCTGTTGGAAGAAAAGTCTTCCATCCTGGTTCATCCAAGCTGGGAATAAACATGGCAACTGCTTTGGGAAGAAGGTTGTAGTTTATTGGAGAGGAGAGCCAGACAGAAAGATGGTTCTGGCAGCAAGAGAAGTGAAAAAGGGCTGAGCACATGTAGGAAGTAGGTTTTGTACCCTCTGGAGCCTTTTCTTTGGAGTTGTTCCTGTGGCATGAACTTTGACCTGAGTCTGAGTATGCCTTTCTGGTATTCTGATGGTCATGGGTCAATCTTATTATGTCCAAAGGTCATATCCTGCTTCCCTGGGGCTGATGACTCTTAGAGGTTTTTGGGGGGGTATGTAGATTTTAGGTCTTTGTCTTCTTAATCTCCTAGCTCCCTGGATTTACATCTGCATCTCTATAGAACTGGTTTCTGCTTGGGGGAGGGAGACTTGGGGCTATTAAGAAAAATTGGGCATGCTTTTCTGCCTCTTTAAGATCCTTTGAGGAAATATATTTTTTTGCCTTGACTTCCCACACACCTTTGGGACCTGGGTGACTGACTGAGAATCTCCGTGAACATTTGAACCTATTCACAACTACGTTTATCAGTTAACCACAATTAAGCAACTGTCAGTTGTCACACCCCCGTCAAAAAATAACTTGTTTCTGGTCTCCTTTTTCAGTGGTCTGATGATGAAAACACTGCAACGCTCACAGTAAGTGCCTCTGAATTCAATTATTTTTTTTAATTGCGAGAGATCTAATAACCTAAGAAGTTCTGAGTTATATAAGAGCAAAAAATGCCAAACATTTTTCTCGGGTTTTATCGGGCCATGAACGTTTTCCTAAGTTAGGAATTAAAGATGAGCTCCCAGCTTGTTCCTAAAGCAGACAAGTGTACATAAAAGAAAATGTGAAATAAACATCAGACATATTGATCGAAGTGAGTAGTACTGTATTTAGAACCTTGTGAAAAGTCCATTCATTTATCTTGCAACATCCAATGTCCAAAATGACTATTTAGCAATCAGGTTAATCTGTAGCTCAGGGTTGAAATGAGGGGTCTGAGCTTGGCTGTTTTCTTGCAGACGTTTCAATACCCAACTAGGTAACATCATCAGTGTTTGGATAATGAAACGTCTGCAAGAAAACAACCAAGCTCAGAGAGAACCCAGGATCCCTCAGTCAGATTAATTCGCATGTTAACAATTTGCTAACCATTTGAAAATCCGGAATGTTCAAATCCAAATATTACAACATAAAGTAATTTGGGGGTGTATTTCTTGAGATCCTAATTTGTTTAATGTCTCTCTGCTGAGCTTGTTCTGGAGATGTTGTTATAAACATTTGGCTTATGTACAATTGCAATGCAAAGTTATTTCTCCTGGAATACTGTTTGTGTTAGTTTTTATTTCTCTTTTGTGGTTTTCCAGGCACCAGAATTTCCTGAATTTTCCCTTAAAGTTGAAGAGGCGATCCACTCCTTGGGAGGCAGCGTTTTCCCAAAGCTTAACTGGAGTGCTCCAAGGGTAATTAGAATTTAATTTAAGTGCAAATTGGTATAAAGATTCTCAGAGACATTTTCTCGTAAATTACAATTTCACTTATGTCTGTGAAGGTTCTCAGTCATCCAGGTCACAGTTGTGCTTTTCCTAAAGGCAACTGGACTTTCTTGTTTTTTTTCCTTGAAAACATTTCACTTCTGGTCCAAGAAGCTTCTTCAGTTCTGACCTTAATGGCGGTAAACATCCCTGGGCATTTTTATTTAAAAAAAAAACATTATTTAATTCCTTCTGCAGCTTTAGAAGGAAAATATAATAACACTTCAGTTTCTCATGTCCTTGAGAATTGAGGAAGTTGGAATCAAATATCGCATTGCAAGTTCTGTTCAGATTCTCAGTCAAGATTTATTCAGGCCTTGAGAAGAAAAATCTACCAGCCTGTCCATATCAATATATTAATTTTTTGTGGGGGTGATAGAGTGTCCAATAGGAGACTTCCTTTTTAAATGGCACAGGTAGTCCTTGACTTCCAACAGTTTGTTTAATGACCCTTCAAAGTTACAACCGTGACTTATGAAAAAGGCGACTTACGACCGTTTTCACATTTACGACTGTTGCAGCTTCCCTGTGGTCACATGATCAAAATTCAGATGCTTGGCAACTGACTCGTAGTTATGACGGTCGCAGCGTCCCAGGGTCACATGATCAAAATTCAGATGCTTGGCAACTGACTTGTATTTATGACGGTCGCAGTGTCCCGGGGTCACGTGATCAAAATTCAGACCCTTGGCAACTGACTCGTAGTTATGACAGTCGCAGCGTCCCAGGGTCACATGATCAAAATTCAGACCGTTGGCAACTGACTCGTAGTTATGACTGTTTGCAGGGTCCCAAGGTCACGTGATCCCCCTTTTGCGACCTTCTGGCAAGCAAAGTCAGTGGGGAAGCTGGATTCATTTAACAACCTTACTACCAACTTAAACAACTGCAGTGATTTCCTTAACAACAATCTGTGGTGTGAAAGGTGGTAAAGTGGGGCAAACGTCACTTAACGAATACCTCACCAAGAAACATTTTGTGCTCAGTTGTGATTGTAAGTCTACAGGGATAGGCAACCTTGGCTCTTTTATGACTCATGGACTTCAACACCCAGAATTCCTGAGCCAGCCACACTGAGGGAAAAGGGAGAGGCTTCCAAGCTGAGCCATGCTGGCTCAGGGATTCTGGGAGTTGAAGTCCACCAGTCATAAAAGAGCCAAGGCTGCCCATCCCTGTCCTAAGTCCTCCTGTTTGAAGCGGTGAGCCTCCTAGTCCAGGGGTAGGCAACCTTGGCTCTTTTATGACTCATGGACTTCAACTCCCAGAATTCCTGAGCCAGCATGGCTCAGCTTAGAAACCTCTCCCTTTCCCCTCAGCATGGCTGGCTCAGGAATTCTGGGAGTTGAAGTCCACGAGTCATAAAAGAGCCAAGGTTGCCTGCCCCTGGTCTAGGATTACCCATGCTTAAATGTAAAAGATGCATTTCAACTGTTCAAGAAAGTCCCTCAGGAAAGAATGGTTCTGAATTTTGAAACAGACTTTTTTTATTATATATATGTGTGTGTGTGTGTGTAGGTAGGTAGGTAGGTAGGTAGGTAGGTAGGTAGGTAGATAGATAGATAGATAGATAGATAGATAGATAGATAGATAGATAGATAGATAGATAGATAGATAGATAGATTGATTGATTAGGCCTTTCCTTTGGGAAAGTTCTCCCTCTGCCCCACATTAAAAGAAAGTTAAGGTCAGATGAATAATGCCATAATGGTGCTATCTCTTGTGTGGTTCAAAAGGATCCAGCTGGGCTAATCTGCCGCAATCTCAATTTACCACAGAGGCAAGCATAAATCAGCCGGTCGCCTTGTACATTCTCAGTGGCATTAATGAGGTTTAGGGGCAAGTTTAAATGTTTGGCCTCTTAACAACCACCCGAATGAGTTATTGCCACGTAGAACAGAGACTTCTAAAGAAATTGGGCAATTAATTTGGCCTGAAGGATACCGTCCAAAGCTCCCTTAGATGGGAGCCTGATTGCCTTCAGCGGGAATAAATTTTGAGAGAACACAAATAACATCAGGGCCTTGAAAGCACTAAGTGAGCACTTGCTGTGTCTTTTGTAATGTGTATAAACAAGCAAGCTGCTTTTTCTTTGCTCTTTAAATTGTTAGCTTTATTGCCGTACATCAAGTGCTGCTCCTTGCGAAACCGATAATAAGAGCTGCTTCCAAAGAACCCAACACAATCATATTTTAATCCAATCTTCTCTAGTTTTTTTTTTTTTTAATGCGTTTGAACTCCTGTTTTTCACTGAAGTTGCTCGGGGTGAGTTTTGTTAAGCCTTAAACAAGGACACATCGCTCTGTTTCTCTTGCAGACAAATCTAGAGATGAACTTCCAGTGAACTTCCAGCGTAGGTAATCCTCGACTTAATTTCAACTTTAAAATCCAGTAGTGACCTGGATTTTCGTGGCCAATCAAGGCGGTTGTTAACTGAATTATACCCAGTTTTGCAACCTTCTATGCCACGCTTGTTAAGCGAATCACTGCAGTTCTTAGGTGAATCCTGCACGTGACCCCCGGCACATTGCAACTGTCATAAAAATGAGTCACTTGCGAAGCATCTGAATTTTGGTCCCATGACTATGGGGGTGCTGCAACAGTCATAAGTGCGAGGATTGGTAATAATAATAATAATAATAATAATAATATAATAATAATAATACACCTAGGATGCTGGTAGCAACCCGTGTCAACCATCAGTGCCAGCCAATTTGAATGTTCAGTTGACTGAGATTCATGTTTAATGAATAAAAGATAATAATAATAATAATAATAATAATAATAATAATAATAATAGAAGGGACCTTGGAGGTCATCTAGTCCAACCCCCTGCTCAGGCAGGAAACCCTACACCATTTCGGACAAATGGCTGTCCAGTCTCTTCTTAAAAACTTCCAGTGTTGGAGCATTCACCGCTTCTGGAGGCAGGTTGTTCCACTGGTTAATTGTTCTCACTGTCAGGAAGTTTCTCCTTAATTCTAGGTTGCTTCTCTCCTTGTTTAGTTTCCACCCGTTGCTTCTTGTCCTGCCTTCAGGTGCTTTGGAGAATAGATTGACTCCCTCTTCTTTATGGCAGCCCCTGAGATATTAGAAGACTGCTATCGTGTCCCCCCTCATCCTTCTCTTCATTAAGCTAGACATCCCCAATCCCAGCAGCCGTTCCTTATATGTTTTAGCCTCCAGTCCCCTAATCATCTTTGTTGCTCTTCTCTGTACTCTTTCTAGAGTCTCAACATCTTTTTTTCATTGTGGTGACCAAAACTGGATGCAGTATTCCAAGTGTGGCCTTACCAAGGCCTTGTAAAGTGGTATTAACACTTCATATGATCTTGATTCTATCCCTCTGTCAATGCAGCCTAGCACTGTGTTGGCCTTTTTGGCAGCTGCAGCACACTGCTGGCTCATATTTAAGTGATTGTCCACTAGGACTCCGAGATCCCTTTCACAGTTACTACTATTGATCACGGTATCACCTATATACTATACCTGTGCATTGGGTTTTTCGTGTCTAAAGGTAGAACCTTACTTTTTTCACCATTGAATTTAATTTTGTTAGATAGTGCCCAGTGTTCAGGTCTGTGCAGATCCTCCTGTATCTTAAGCCTATCTTCTGGAGTGTTGGCTATTCCTGCCAGCTTGGTGTTGTCATTTTCAGTGTGGTAACTCTGAATGTTTGCTAAACGAATGGTCGTAAGTCGAATCACTGCAGTTATTAAATTGGTTGTAAAATGAATCTGGCTTCCCCATTGACTTTGCTTGTCAAAAGGTTCCAAAAGGGGATCTCATGACCCCGGGATGTTGCAATGGTGATAAATAGGGGTCACTTGCCAAGAGTCTGAATTATGAGCACATGACGATAGGGGGTGCTATAATGGTCGTGCATGTGAAATATGGTCATCAGTCCCCTTTTCAATGATGTAACTTTGAACGGTCACTAAATGAACCGTAGTAAGTTGAGGACTGCCTGTTCCCTTGAAGAGAAAAAGGCACAGTTCCTTTTAATGTTGCTTGCACCCACAAGCTATGTTTGCACTCGCCCACTCCAAAGCAGTTTTTCGAAATTGGATCAGCGCACCGCAAAGCTCCGATGTCACGATGTTTTTACCTCTGGAAATGCTAGCCTGGAATAGGCAGTTAAGGAATAAATGGAATAAATCTGTTTTCTTTAGGACGCCTACTGGATTGCCATGAATAATTCCCTGAAATGCAACAGCCTCAGCGATATCTTCCTGCTTTTCAAGAGTTCGGATTTCATCACGCGTGACTTCACTCAGCCGTAAGTATCATGGCGATGGATTTGCCCCTTGAACGGGGAGGTTAGAAAAAGTCCCAATGTATCCCTTGCTTGCTTGCTTGCTTTTCTCCTTGTGTCCCCAGCTCTGAAAAACTGGATTCAATCTGAATTTGTTGTTATTAATTGTTGCTCTGTAGGTTATTTCCCTGTTTATCCCACTGCAACTAGTGGAGGGACATTTAAAAAGTCACGTTAGCAGATGCAATTGTGTGGGCAAACCTTCCTTGCTAGGTTGAGCGGTTTGGTATTATCAAAAAAATTGTCTCTCTTCCTGCTTATTCCTAAATACAAAACATTCCTACAGGTGGTCCTTGACTTACGACAGTAATGGAGCCTGGAATTTCTGCTTTATAGCATGACAGTCACGAATCGAGGCATCCATGGTCGTTGAGTGAATCTATTGTCCACACTGGGCTTTTTTTCCCCCCCCCCCAGAAACTGGAAGTCAACACTGGTTACTGGCGAAAAGAAAATTAAACTATAAATGGAAAATTAGACAAAGGGAGATTCAGTCAATCAGAACAGAGCTGGAAGGGACCTTGGAGGTCTTCTAGTCCATCCCTCTGCACAGGCAGGAGACCCTATACCATTTCAGACAAGTGACTGTCCACTCTCTTCTTTAAAAAAATCTCCAGTGATGGAGCACTGAAATAAACAGACATCCTGATCCGGTTAACCGTTCATTAGTTTCGGTACTGATTAAGTCAGTGGTTCTCAACCTTTCTAATGCCGCGACCCCATAATACAGTTCCCCATGTTGTGGTGACCCCCAACCACCTATACATCACCGGGTGCCAGGGGCGTGGCCAAAGAAAAGGGGAAAAAATGGCGGACAGCCTTGTTTGGCGACCCCCGTGAAATGGTCGTTTGACCCCAAATGGGGACCCGACCCACAGGTTGAGAACCACTGGATTAAGTGCTGATAAACCCCAGGAAGTGAAAATGGTAAATGTTAATTGAGCATAAGGAAGGAAAGTGCTGGAAAGGTAAAAATTGGCTTCATTTTTTATTCAGTTCCTCAAATAGGCTTATAGATTAAAACGACAGAAGGAAAAGCCCACGGGCTCTGTTCAGCTACAGCAGTGGTTCTCAACCTTTTTAATGCCGCGACCCCCAACCGGTCGTAAGTCAAGGACTACTCAACTGGTGCAGCACCGTTTGCAGAATGGGACTTTTGGCGTGCTCAGCAGGGCAGAGACAGCCTGGACAATTCCTATTGGCTTTTGAAAGCCAATGGAATTAGACTCTATTCAAGAGAGTCTATTCTATTGGCTTTCAAAAGCCAATAGAATAAAAGGGAGTAGCACAGCTAAGGAAAAGGGGGGGGGAAATGGCGGACTGCGTTGTTTGGCGACCCCCGTGAAATGGTCGCTCGACCCCAAATGGGGTCCCGACCCACAGGTTGAGAACCACTGAGCTACAGGGTAAACATTCAGTAATTTAATAGCGCCAATAAAATACGATGGAAATGGAAAACTATACCCCCCCCAATTTACAATCATTTGTTTAGTGACTGTTCGAAGTTACCACGGCACTGAAAAAGGGACTTATGACCGTTCTTCACACTTACGACCATTGCAGTCATGTGCACAAAATTCGGGATACTCGGCAACTGGCATGTACTTATGACTGTTGCCCTGTCCCGGGGTCGCGTGATCCCCTTTTGTGACCTTCTGACAAGCAAAGACAACGGGGGGGGGGAACAGTTTCACTTAACAGCTGTGTTATTAACTTAAGGACTGCAGGGATTCACTTAAACGACGGTTGGGAGAAAGGTCGTAAAATGGAGCAAAAAACTGCTTAGCAAATGTCTTGCTTAGCATGTTGGGTTCAATCGTCGTAAATCAAGGTTTACCTGTACAGCATAACAAGGGCAAAGTTTTCCCTTGAACATTGTCAAGTTAAGTAGCCCAAGATTGGAAACTGAGAAGTGTGAGTCTTTATTCTTCCACTGTTTTAAAGATATTTAACAGAATAACAAAATAACAGAGTTGGAAGGGATCTTGGAGGTCTTCTAGTCCAAACCCCTGCTCCAATAGGATACCCTTCACCATTTATTTCAAATCTAATATATATGTAAAGAAGTAACCTGGAATTAAGGAGAAACTTCCTGACAGTGAGAACAATCAACTAGTAGAACAGCTTACCCCCCAGAAATCGTGGGCGCTCCATCCCTGGAACTTTTTAAGAAGAGACTGGACAATCACCTGTCTGAGATGGTATAGGTTCTCCTGCTTGAGCAGGGGGCTGGACTAGAAGACCTCCAAGGTCCCTTCCAGCTCTATTCTATTCTTTTCTACTTGGACCACAAAGGAATGGCTTTGTGCCTCCTCAGCAAATTAAGGGAGGTTGGACCAAGAAGAAGCAGGCTTTAGTGATAGCTGACCCACACTGTTGTAATATTCTGCCCCATAAATTCATCTGGAACAAATACCCTCCAGTCCTCCAGATCTACAAAGACCTACCAGTTCAGAGGAGTATTTGGAGATTAGGATCTGCAACAGTGGATCACCTCTGGCTCTTAGACCATGTTTTTTTCCCACTCCTCCTTGTATTTATGTTTCGATGATTACTCCCCAGTGGGCGGTAATCTGTGGTGTGTCTGCAGTTTGGTGGGCTATAAATGTTAGCCAATAAATCAATTAAGTTGTTTTTGCAAGAGGCAAGATACTTGATGGAGTAGGTCTGGTGGAAAAGACTATTTGTAGCTCCGAGTTGAAATATAAGGGATCCTTGGTGCTTTGTGACCTTGGTGGTTTTCTTGCAGATGTTTTTAATGACCCAGCTAGGGAACATCATCAATGCTAGAAGGGTGGGGAGTTTGCTCAGAGATTTGAACTGTTTGTTTGCTTATGGACACTGTTAGCAAGTGCTGATTGAGTCACTGGGGAACCTGTCAGGATGGGTTGCTCATATCTGTTGCTGTTAAAGACAGATTTGCAAATCTATCAGGTGTGTTTCTTCCCCTCTAGGTTTATCCATTGCAACGATGATTCCCCGGACCCTTCTTTGGATTATGAAGTAAGTGTCAGCTGCTCTTTTTAGGGTAGCATTTTGAACCCACCACAAAAGCTTCCCTTCCACGTCAAGTTCCACAGGACAAAAATAAATTAAATGCACACAAATCGGTTCAGTTCTCTGACTTTGTTAGTTCCATGTAAAACATCTCCTAAGCAAACATCTGGGGTGTGTGTTTTTTTTTTTAACTTGGTCAAATGGAGGGGAGATATTTGTGACAAAATCAACTTGAGTTTGATCTTGAGCAGTTGGGAACGTTGGATTTTGGGAGAGTGGATTAGGCAGAAGGCTTTTCTGGATGACCAGTATGGAGAAGAGAGGGGGGGGGGAGAGAGAATAGCTATAATAGCTAGAAAGGTGGATGGATGGATGGATGGATGGATGGATGGGAGAGAGAGAATAGTTATAATAGCAAGAGAGATGGATGGATGGATGGATCGATCGATGGAGAGAAATAGCTATAATAGAGAGATGGATGGATGGATGGAGAGAGAATAGCTATAATAGAGAGATGGATGAATAGAAAGAGAATAGCTATAATAGCTAGAGAGTGGGATGGATGGATCGATGGATGGATCGATGGAGAGAGAATAGCTATAATAGAGAGATGGATGGATGGATGGATGGATGGAGAGAGAATAGCTATAATAGAGAGATGGATGAATAGAGAGAATAGCTATAATAGCTAGAGAGTGGGATGGATGGATGGATGGATGGATGGAGAATAGCTATAATAGAGAGATGGATGGATGGATGGATGGATAGATAATAGCTATAAGAGAGATGGATGAATAGAGAGATAGCTATAATAGCTAGAGAGTGGGATGGATGGATGGATGGATAGATAATAGCTATAAGAGAGATGGATGAATAGAGAGAATAGCTATAATAGCTAGAGAGTGGGATGGATGGATGGATGGATGGATGGATGGAGAGAGAATAGCTATAATAGAGGGATGGATGGATGGATGGATGGAGAGAGAGAATAGCTATAATAGAGAGATGGATGAATAGAGAGAATAGCTATAATAGCTAGAGAGTGGGATGGATGGATGGATGGATGGATGGATGGATGGATGGATGGATGGATGGATGGAGAATAGCTATAATAGCTAGAGAGATGGATAGATGGATGGATGGATGGAGAGAGAGATAAAAAAATTGGAGACTGCCCATCACACCATGATTATTGGAGTTTGTTGATGTTATTATTGGTTTTGTTATCCTCATAATTTTAACTTTGTTTAAGTATAATAGGATTGTAAAGCTCTCAGATTCACTACTAGATTAGACCAGCCAGTAAGCCTAGTAAAATAAATGAAGGGAAGTCAAATGCATTCCACAATTCATATCATTTGCTTGGTAGCTTCGTTCCATGCGTGACCTCATCAAGGCTTCTTTCAGAAGTTGAAGATCACAAGGTCAGCCTTAAGAGAGCCTCTTGTTTTTAACATTTTGCAATTTCTTAATTATCCCTTAAGATGAAAGTGGGTTGTTTATATCCGTGCCAGTTAATTAGAATTTTGTCTCCCTTCCTTTAGCTTGTCCTCCGAAAATGGTGTGAATTGATTCCGGGGGCAGAATTCAGGTGCTTTGTGAAGGAAAACAAACTTATTGGTGAGTTTTATCAGTAAAAGCTCATTTATCCTCGGCTGTGTCTAAAGCTTTTCTAGATATTTTTATTGTAACCCTCCTGCATTTCACAGGTAAGACTGCATATTAAATTTTGGGCATGATTCTTTTTGTCCGTGTCCTGTTAATAAGTCATAATCATTTTGTTTCCTTAGAGTTTTTCCCATAACGGTCCAAACAGCTCAAAAAATGAATAACATGAAATACCATCCTGGAACCTCATTGGACCTTAATATTTATGCATTATCTGAGGAGTTAATATATGTTCTTTTCTGCATCTGTTTTTTTTTTTTTTTTAAGCTACAAGTTGCCTGCTTTTTTGGCTCACGGTTCACTTATTCAGCTTTGAAATCTGGAGTTTGCACAGTTGCTTCTGGCGTAACAGAAAGAAATTTAGTTTTTCTAACATTCCTGGGTCTTGTCAAGAGACTTTTGATTTGAAATATCTGCACACTGAAACTGCTAACAAAGTACATTGGGGCTGTTGTTCTTTCACTATGCTTTAATTCCAATTTTATTATAATTCCATTATAATAAAAAAATATAACGGATATAATTTTTCATTCAGGTATATCTCAGCGAGACTACACTCAATACTATGAACACATCTCTAAACAGAAAGAAGAGATCTGTAGATCCATACAGGATTTTTTCAATAAACACATACAGTATAAATTTTTGGATGAAGATTGTGAGTATCCTTTTTAATTTGAATAAGAGACAGGTATTTTCTAATAATTAACAAGGTTCTCTTTCAAGTAGTGTCCTTGGTGAATTTATCCACTCGTCCTTGCTGATTTGGTTGGTCGTTTTCTGCTGAAGTCTTGCGAAAAGTAGAAGCACAAATGGAAGTTGAACCACAGAAACAGTTCATTTAGTTGGAATTATTTGTATCTGCAGACGCCCAAACAGCTGAGGATAGAAGCTAAAATCATCCCAGAATAACAACGTTGGAAGGGGCCTCGGAGGTCCTCTATTCCAACCTCCTGCTCAAGCAGGAAGCCCTATTTCAGACAAATGGCTGTTCAATCTCCTCTTCAAAACTTCCATTATTGGAGCACCCATAATGTCTGGAGCGAAGCCATTCCACTGATGAATTGTTCTAACTTTCAGGAAATTTCTCCTTAGTTCTAGGTTGGTTCTTTCCTCGATTAATTTCCACCCGTTGCTTCTTGTCCTGCCTTCAGTGCTTTTGAGAATAAAATAAATTAAAAGATAACTTTAAACTTATTTGAACCTTTTACCCCCCCCTTTTTTTTTTTTGCTTACTCATTTTCAACTTACATGCTTTTTCTTAAAATGTTACCTATCCGTCCATCCCTTGGCTTCTGATAGAAAATACTGTGCCTTCCCTGCGGTTGGAAAGGACGAAAAAGAAGGCAAAACAAGAAAGAAGAGAATGAGAGAGAGAGAGAGAGAGAGAGAGAGAGAGAGAGAGAGAGAGAGAGAGAGAGAGAGAGAGAGAATATCAGAAAGAAAAATAGACATTCATTGTTATTATTTCATTCCCCTACTTCTCTTCCATCTCTCAGTTTTGGTCAAAATATGCTATGTTTTGTGTCCTGTGTTATCCCCCTAGCTAAGCAAAATATCAATAACTCTGTGGAAAGTTTCTATTATTTCAAATTCTGGATCTGAATCTGGGCCTGTTAATGAAGAGGCGTTCAGTTTTTGCATATAATGGCTAACCATCACCAAGATACTCACTTTTCCTACTTTCTGCTTTTTTTCTCCCTTTTTAGTTGTATTTGATGTCTACAAGGACAGTATGGTGAGTGAGTTTTTCTTTTCTATACCCACGCCAATGATTGGGAAGGTATACAATTAGGATTTTGATTTTCTCCCAAGAGATTGGCAGCATCTAGCCCAGTGGTTCTCAACCTTTTTAATGCCGTGACCCCCAACCGGTCGTAAGTCGAGGACTACCCAACCGGTCGTAAGTCGAGGACTTTCCCTGCCCGGGAGCACCGCGCATGCGTGGTGCCGCCCCCTGCGCTGGCCGAGGCGTAGCTGACAAGCGGCAGAGACGGCGCAGGCCGACCACCGGCTGGGCCACCAGCTGGCCCAGCCCAAGGGAGGTAAGGCACTCGCCGGGCCCCACGCACGCCAGCAACCCTCCCTGCGCCCGCTGGCCTCCCATCTCCCACCCCTGGCCTTCTTTTCCTTACATTTTTAGTAGTTGCTCAGCAGGGAGGCGTGGAAACTTCCAGACAGCTCACCTTCGCTGCAGACAACTTGCAGCACCGTTTGCAGAATGGGACTTTTGGCGGGCTCAGCAGGACAGAGACAGCCTGGACAATTCCTATCGGCTTTTGAAAGCCAATAGAATTAGACTCTATTCAAGAGAGTCTATTCTATTGGCTTTCAAAAGCCAATAGAATAAAAGGGAGTAGCACAGCTAAGGAAAAGGGGGAAAAAATGGCGGACTGCGTTGTTTGGCGACCCCCGTGAAATGGTCGTTCGACCCCAAATGGGGTCCAGACCCACAGGTTGAGAACCACTGATCTAAGATAATCCCTCACAAATTCAAGGAAGATAAGACACTTGGATTATCTAGATCAGGGGCCTTCAAACTTGGCCCTTTTATGACTTTTGGACTTCAACTCCTAGAATTCCTCAGCCAGGCACACTGGCTGAGGAATTCTGGGAGTTGAAGTCCACAAGTCATAAAAGGGCCAAGTTTGAAGACCCCTGATCTAAATTTTGTCACAATAGTAATAATCCAGACTGACATGGAATTGGTGTTTTAGTCTGTATCTTATCTTATGGGGTTGACACTGCTTCGTGGATAAATCCAGATAGTTTACCAGAATTAAACCTAACTCAAGGAAGTCTTTACTTACTGTTTTATTTCGTATCGTTTTCATTGCTTTGTTTTGTTTTATTCCTGCGCTCTATTAAAAACAATCAAGTGCAGTATGATTTTACACACATTAAAATAGAGCAGTGTTTCTCAACCTTGACAAATTTTAAGGCATGTGGACTTCAACTCCCAGAATTCCACAGCCAGCAGTGCTGGCTGTGGAATTCTGGGAGTTGAACTCCACATGCCTTAAAATTGTCAAGGTTGATAAACACTGAAATAGAGAGTTTGCACCAATTGGATGATATGCCTAGTGATGAGTTATATACGTACATTATTCTGCAATGCCATGTAGATTCTTCGCGCAAATCCAGAATCATCTGGCTATTAACAACATTATTTTCTTCTAAGCAGGCAGAACGTATACTTCATTTGCTTAAAAGTATTAGGGCCCTAAAATTTATTTCTACTTTCTGTATACATTAATGGGTGTTTAGAGAATGGCAGCAGTGAAAACCTTTAATGTTTTATTCTGGTTTTGCTGAGTAACGTATATTTCTGGCTCATATTGTTAACAACTGGTGAGCTACTTTTGGCTTTATGGAATTCTTGGCAAGGACTCAGAAAGCATTTTCTCATTTTAATTTAGGATTATGGAAAATCCCAGTAGATAGGACTTCAAAAAAGTTTTGTCTGTCCTGCATTTTCACTCATTGGAGTCCACACCAGATGTAGCGATGGCAGTGCTTAACACATGGGATCAACGATTCAAAATATTTTGATCTTGCAACCCTGTTTAGAGTTGAAGAAATCCCTCTGATGTTGGTCTGACATTCCAGAATTGCTTTACATTTAAAACAGACCTTAAATTTGACTAAGAAGATTGTCTAAGAGGCCACTTGGTTATAAATAAGCTTTGAATGTTATTAATCTTGCCTTAACTTTCACCTCTGCACATTGATGTAGATGGAAACTTAGCTGTTCCTCACGACAAAATTCTGGCATTTGAAAACAAAAATCATTCTAAAACTTTTTTTAAAAAAGTCCATCTGGAAGAAGAATTAGGGAGCTTCTAATAAAAGAAGTGAAAAAGCGGATTGAGAACACAAATGAGCAATAACTTAGATTTTAGAAATGAAGAATTGCAGCCATATTGCCTTTGGATGTGTCTTTTACAGTAGTGGCCAAAATGGTGGAAACCTTTTGGGAAAAGTGTACAGGAGAAATGCCACCTTTGGTTAAGTTTCCACCCATTTTCCTTCTAATTTCTTTATAACTGTAGTTTTGTTCACTTCATAATACTATTTTACATCGCTTTCTGGGCAACCAGTCAACTCTTTGCACCATTCCTTTAATTTTATTATGTTTTACAAGCTTACTAAATGAAAGAACACAAAAAACCCCCCAACCAACTTGATAGCCATCACATAACACACTGACACATGTCCTCCTCTCAGCTTCAATGCATCAATCACTGAATTCTACTGTGATCTGATTGGCTCATTGCCAAAACAAGGTGACACCCGATTGGCTCTCTAAACACTCATGCTCATTGGCTACAATCAGATGGAGGAAAGCTACCTGAGATCAACCTGAGCAAGTTGTGCTTCCTTTTTCTGGTTGTTTGGCTATAACTTTTCATAGAATACAATACAGATAATTGAACAAACTTTGTTGCATTACATTCTTGATTAAATTATCTTTCCATTGATATATAATTTTAGGGTACTACTCCAAAACAAAGTGGTGTTATTAGCCATCAAACCTCAAAAATACACTTTTCCCAAAAGGTTTCCACAATTTTGGCCACTACTGTATATTATTATAATTTTATGTATAGGATACAAGCAGTCCTCCATTTAAATCCATTCATTCAAAGTTACAGTGGCCCTGAAAAAAGCGACATGACCATTTTTCACACTTAACGACCATTGCAGCCATCCCCGTGGTCACGTGATCAAAATTCAGATGCATGGCAACTGACTCACATTTATGACGATTATAGTGTCCTGGTGTCATGTGATCCCCTTTTGTGACCTTTTGACGAGCAAAGTTAGTGGGGAAGCCAGATTCACTTAACAACCGTGTCACTAAGTTCGTAAAATGGGGCAAAACTCACTTAAGAAGTGTCTTGCTTTGCAACGGAAATTTTGGGCTCACTTGTGGTGGCAAGTTGAGGACTATAACTTAGATTTTAGAAATAAAAAGGACTGTATCCGTGTGGCATTTGAACATTGTTAGGTTGCCTTTTATTTTATTTGTCTTTTATGTCGTCATCTATTAAGGCTTATTACATTTTGACATTAACCACCCTCCTTCAGGGCAGAGTATGGCTCATAGATTTTAATCCATTTGGGGAAGTGACGGATTCTCTACTGTTCACCTGGGAAGAAATAAGATCCGGAAACAGTTTGAAAAGTGACCAGACCGAAGGTGCAGCCATGGAAGAGGTAACAGATTCATTTTTTTAAAAAAAGTACAATATAAATCTATATAAAGGCATACATGTACTTAAGCCAACTTTCCTGATTTTGCTAGGCATTGACATTTTTTTAAAAAAAAAAAATACCCATTGCTGCAATTTTGCCTTGTTGGAAATGAACTATAAATTATAGTTCTATAATTTAGCTATTTGTTGTTGTTGTTAATTGCGAAGTCGTGTCCGACCCATCGCGACCCCCATGGGCCATGTTCCTCCAGGCCTTCCTGTCCTCTACCATCTTCTGGAGTCCATTTAAGGCAGCGGTTCTCAACCTATGGGTCGTGACCCCATTTGGGGTCGATCGACCATTTCTCGGGGGTCGCCAAACAAGGCGATCCGCCATTTTTCCCCCTCGGGGGCCGCCACCGCGCATGGGGCCACCGCCGCGCATGCGTGCCGCACATGGGGGTGCCGCCGCACATGGGGGTGCCGCCGCGCATGGGGGTGCCGCCCCGCCACGCATGGGGGCGCCGCCACGCATGGGGCGGTGCCGCGCATGCGCGGCACGTTTGTGTGACGGGAGTCGCCGTCACACAAACGTTGAGAAGCACTGATTTAAGGTCACGCCTACTGCTTCAGTGATTCCATCCAGCCCCCTCATTCTCTGTCGTCCTCTTGCCCTCCATCTTTCCCAGCATTAGGCTCTTCTCCAGTGAGTCCTTCCTTCTCGTTAGGTGGCCAAAGTACTTGAGTTTCAACTTCAGGATCTGGCCTTCTAAAGAGCAGTCGGGGTTGATATCTTCTAGGACTGAGCGGTTTGAACGCCTTGCAGTCCAGGGGACTCGCAGGAGTCTTCTCCAGCACCAGAGTTCAAAGGCCTCCATTCTTTGGCGCTCAGCCTTTCTTATGGTCCAACTTTCACAGCCATACATTGCAATTGGGAAAACCATGGCCTTGACTATACGCACTTTTGTATAAACTATATAAACTAACTATAAAAGGAATAAAAACTTCATGGACAGTGAGAATTTTGGCTTGTGACTCGCAACCAGGCGATGAATAGACTCGTTTATTAATTGAGTAGTCTTGTGACCTTATCAAGAAGGGTGTTAGCTGGGAAATTCTGGGAGTTGAAGTCCACACATCTTAAAGTTGCTGTGACTGACAAACACCGGGGTAGGCCCGTGTCCTCCGTCCATTCGCTTCTCCTTTCTCCAACTTGCAAGCAAGCAATTAATGGGTGTGGAGGAAGTTGCTCTAATATCATGGAACCTGTCAGCACCTTGAGTCGTTCTCATCTCCAGAGGTCTCCTAGGAAATCCTGATCTTGGTCCACCTTTTGCAGAATCCCCAGCTTCTCTCCCCCCAAAGTATGAAAGCACCATTAGATATTTTGAAGCCGTTCACCCCTTTAAGAGAAGCTGCGATAAGATAAGATATAAGATAAGATAAGATAAGATAAGATAACCTTTATTGTCATTTTTTTTACTGTGGGCACAATGGCGCACATCAAAAATGAAATTTAGTTGCCCGCTCTCAAAGTAAGGAGAAACTTCCTGATAGTTAGAACAATTAACCAGTGGAACAATCTGCCCCCAGAAGCAGTGAATGCTCCAACACTGGAAGTTTTTAAGAAGAGACTGGACAGCCATTTGTTTGAAATGGTGCAGGGTTTCCTGCCTGAGCAGGGGGTTGGACTAGATGATGTCCAAGGTCCCTTCCAACTTTATTATTATTATTATTAATAATAATAATAATAATAATATACTATGAACAACATATGTATAGACCCACACCCCTACATATACGTAGCAATAAATATTAAATATTGTCCATCTTGAATATATAACGGAAGGAGGAAGCTTGAGAGTTCACAAGGTTAATGCTGTATGGAATGAAACTATGGCTGAATCTGGATGTTCTGCTTCGGATACCACGAAGCCTCCTCTCAGAAGGTAACAAGGAAAACAGGTCGTGAAGAGGGTGTGTAGTGTCCCAGATAATCTTACGGACTCTGCTCAAGCAGCGCTTCTGTGCTATGTCCTGGATGGGAGGGAGGGAACTGCCAATGATCTTTTCTGCCGTCCTCACCACTCTCTGCTCTGCCTTCCTGTCTGAAGCAGGGATGCTTCCAAACCAGACTGTGATGCTGTATGACAGGATGCTTTCGATCGTCCCCCTGTAGAAAGTGGTGAGGACAGGGGAAGGAAGATGTGAAACATGAGTGTTTCAGAATGCATTGATTAAGCTAATGAATACCAAAAAAAAAAAAAAAAAATTGCAAGGAAATAATTGAGGGCCTCTTTCTTGGTTTGCTCTTCTCTTCCAAATTAGGACTCCCCGTCGTTCCGTTGCACAAACAGTAACCTCACGGTCCAGCCAAGTCCATATCTGAGCTACAGGTTGCCCAAAGATTTTGTTGATCTTTCCACGGGAGAAGATGTTCACAAATTAATTGACTTGCTCAAACTGGTAAGCAGATTTGCAGAGAGTTACGGAGAGGATTTTCTGTTGACCTAAAAAGTCCTTGTGCCAGAAAAGATGGTAGCTTGAAACCCTTGTTTTCAGAACATCGAGTGTATGTTCATACATGCAGACTTACCTACCGTTAGATTTTTTTTTCCTTACCAAGAACATTGAGTGTGTGTTCATACATGCAGACTTACCTACCGTTAGATTTTTTTTTCCTTACCAAGTTCTAGACATTTGAGTGGAATATATAAAGAGGTTGACTTAAAACACATTGCAATGAAGGAGGTAATTAGCATGTAGTCACTGGTGATTGGAACCCATCTTCCACAACACAACTGTAATATTGTTTGTAATAGCACCAGAGGGAAGAACGAGAAACAATGGTTGGAAACTGATCAAAGAGAGAAGCAACCTAGAATTAAAGAGAAACTTCCTGACAGTGAGGACAATTAATCAGTGGAACAGCTTGCCTCCAGAAATCGTGGGTGCTCCATCACTGGAGATTTTTAAGAAGAGGCTAGATGTTTGAGATGGTATAGGTTCTCCTGCTTGAGCGGGGGGATGGACTAGAAGTCCTCCAAAGTCCCTTCCAGCGCTATTCTCTATTCTAGAAATCTCATTCCTGAAGGATAAAGGCCTCATGCACTCTCCTTGTCTACATTCCAATGTTTTTCAACCTTGGCAACTTTTAGATTTGTGGACTTCAACTCCCAGCATACTGACCGGATAAATCCATACAATTGAAAGTTTCCAAGATCGAGAAACACTGCTGTAGTTTATAAGATTTGTACTTTGTGATGGAAATAGATATATATATATCAGTTTCCTTGCAAGTTCCTGTCACAATCTAAACATTTATAGCTTGGCATTTTAGAAAAAAGTAGAACATCTCTGCATTATATTTAAGCTAAGCTGAGTACTTTTTCGGAGGAACAACTTACCTTTCAAACAGTTGCAAAATTTATGTTTTTGGACGCACCTTAGAGAGAAAGTAAGGGTGGATATGCACATCTTTTCACAAATCATTTTCAGTTCTCCAAAATATCTGTTTGGGTATCCCTCTGATAAGAGCTTAGAAATTTGTTTTCAGGAAATCAAGCGTAATAGAAAACCACAGAGTTTTTCCTTAGTCTCTTGACTGACTTTCTGAGCTATTTTGCTTTTATAACAGCTAAGCAAGGCTTGGAATTGCAAAGATTGAAATCTCACGGAAAAGTTTTCATTGAACACTTTTGTGTTGTTTAGCCCATGATGAATGGTCTAAAACCTTAAACGAATCCCATCTAAAACCTTGCTGTGAAAGAACATCCATTACTTGTGATCACACAGGGTGACTTGTGTATTCATACAGCCCCAATTCTGATCAAAGACCAGCAAACGCTTACAGATTTTGCAAACAACTTCTTGAAGGGTGGAACTAAATATTTAACTTATAGATATTTAAAATTTAAAGCATGCCGAGGTGGCCTGGGGTGCTATCCAAGTAAGTTGTAAGCTTCCCTACTGAGGCTTTATGGTGCTTTTTAGTAAAGGGTGAAAGGACCATAGCAGGAAAATTACCAATTCTTTCTAGTATAGAAACTGTTCCTTTATGAAAACTGATCGGTCATCCTGTGGTCACACAGGACTCCATCACCTTAGGACCCTAAAGTTAGGATGGAGTGTTTATCTTTTTATAGTATTTAGTTTGTGTTGTGTACAGATTTTGTATAATTTTATTTTTTTTAATATTCAAACCTTCCCAGAGTTATCCCTGTGGTAAGATGGGACAGCCAATAAATTTAATACCATAATAAACGTTGCATAGATCCATAAATATGGCATGGTCAAAGATATCATTTGATTTCTAATTACTATTTTGGTTACTGTGGTTATTGGTTCTTAATTTTACTATTTGTTTTGTGTATTTTTTTTTCATGATGTCTCCACAAATCTGTTACATTTCTTGGTCTATGTCAGGGTTAGGCATCCTTGGCTCTTTTATGACTTGTGGACTTCAACTCCCAGAATTCCTGAGCCAGCCACGCTGAGGGGAAAGGGAGAGGTTTCCAAGCTGAGCTGTGCTGGCTCAGGAATTCTGGGAGTTGAAGTCCATGAGTCATAAAAGAGCCAAGGTTGAGGACCCCTGATATAGGACAGGGGTAGGCAACCTTGGCTCTTTTATGACTTGTGGACTTCAACTCCCAGAATTCCTGAGCCAGCCACACTGAGGGAAAAAGGGAGAGGTTTCCAAGCTGAGCCATGCTGGCTCAGGAATTCTGGGAGTTGAAGTCCACAAGTCATAAAAGAGCCAAGGTTGCCTACCCCTGGTCTATGCCAAGCTGTTAGGACGATGCCATGGTTCATATTATGGAGTTAAGAGAAGGAAGGTTCCCTCTGCAGTTTGGGGGAGAGTCATGTTTTCTCAGTCCAACCCACTTCATGTGGTGGTGGTGGTGGTGATTTATTTATTTATTTAGCTAGCTAGCTTTATTGTGGTTATTTATTTATTTAGCTTTATTGATTTATGTCCCACCTTTGTTATTTTTATAAGTAACTCAAGGTGGCAAATATAATGCTCCTTCTTCCTCTTATTTTCCCCATAACGACAACTTTGTGAAGTGGATCAGCTAAGAGAGAGGGAGTGACCCAAAGTCACCCACCTGGCTTTCAGGCGTAAAGTGGGATTAGAATTCGCAGTCTCTTGGTGATTGGCCCAAAGTCACCCATTCGTGCCTAAGGCTGAACTAGAATTCGCCATCTCCTGATGATTAGCCCAAAGTCACCCAGACTAGAATTCACTGTCTCCTGATGATTAGCCCAAAGTCACCCAGACTAGAATTCACCGTCTCCTGATGATTAGCCCAAAGTCACCCAGACGGCTTTCATGCCAAAGTTGGAACTAGAACTCACTGTCTCCTGGTGATTGGCAAAAAGTCACCCAGTCGGTTTTCGTGCCTAAGGCTGGACTAGAATTCCCCATCGCCTGATGATTGACCCAAAGTCACCCAGACGGCTTTCGTGCCAAAGCGGAACTAGAACTCAACTGTCTCTTGGTTTTTAGCCTGGTGCCTTCCGTCCTCTGGAGAAAAACTGAAATAACAAATGAGTACACTTGTTATTAATAAATCAATAAAACGTCCACTCCAATTTTTGTGTTGTTGTGTTTTTTTTTTAAACCAGAAAAGAAATCAGCCAGACGATGAGGAACCCTGAAAAAGCGGATGAAATGGAAAACGGAAAGGTGGCCGCCGCCCCCCCCCCAAAATAGCATTTTAACTGTAGCAGTTCTGACTAAGAACTTCTTTGTCACAGAAGAAAAACGATGCTGACATTGCATAATCGTTTAATGGAATAAAGATGCTTTCACCGCACTAGGCAAAAATTGCTTGGGAAATAGAGATCATATTTTATACCGCTGGGACCCAGGTCTCTCCCACTAAGTGTGTATTTTGTTTCTGGGTGTTTGGTTTTGGTTTCTTAAGTGGCTTCATATTTATAGTGGGGTGATAATATTCTGCGAATATTTAGAAAGGCTGTACTTTCTGCCAAAGAAACGACAAAAGATTGTGCATAAAATGAGACCCTCACCAGGCCTCAGATATAATTTAATAATAGTTGGATACTATTTGCGGCTAGTCAAAATGCTTGGGAAATGCTTCCCTCAGGGCAAGGGTAGGCAACCTTGGCTCTTTTATGACTCGTGGATTTCAACTCCCAGAATTCCTGAGCTGGCATGGCTCAGCTTGGAAACCTCTCCCTTTCCCCTCAGTGTGGCTGGCTCAGGAATTCTGGGAGTTGAAGTCCACAAGTGGTAAAGCGGCCTAGGGCAGGGGTAGGCAACCTTGGCTCTTTTATGACTCGTGGACTTCAACTCCCAGAATTCCTGAGCCGGCATGGCTCAGCTTGGAAACCTCTCCCTTTCCCCTCAGGGTGGCTGGCTCAGGAATTCTGGGAGTTCAAGTCCACGAGTCATAAAAGAGCCAAGGTTGCCTACCCCTGCCTCAGGGTAATGGACAGCTGCAGTGATACGGAAAATGAAAGATACCTTTGGCCAAACCAAACACAGGTAGTCCCCGACTTAACGACCACTGTTGAGCCCAAAATTTAAGTTGCTAACCGAGACATTTGTTAAGTGGGTTTTGTCCCATTTTACGACCTTTCTTGCCGTAGTGGTTAAGCATATCATTGCAGTTGTTAAGCTGGTAACACGGTTGTTAAGTCAACCTGGCTTTCCCCACTGACTTTGCTTGTCAGAAGCAGCTGCAGTGATTGACCTCACAACTGTGGCAAGAAAGTTGTAAAATGGGGCAAAACTCACTTAACAAATCTTTCCCTTAGCAAAAGAAATGTTGCGCTCTGTTGAAGTCGTGACTTACCCCTATGTTTCTGAAGGACTGCGATCAACTCTTTCCTTTGTGTAGGAACAGTGTTAGGAAGCATAAATCAAAATAAATTTAAATTGCTGCCTCTGGCAAATGTCAGCATTGTCAGTTTATAAATCCGGTTCTTCTGGCAGGGGCATCTTCTTTATTATTTATTACTGAAGTATGAAACTCTTTTTTTTTTTTTTTTTAAAAATGGATTTCTGTATTGCTTTGTAGCCAAGGTAAGATAGTCCTAAGGTCCCCGCAGGGAGTTTTGAGAGATATAATTATATCATGCTGGTGGAAAATTTTTAAGATGGAAAATTGTGGCTTGGGAATAAATTAACAATTATCATGCCAAATATCTGCATTTAGCTACCTGTTTCCGAGTTAATTGTTTGTGAGACAGCCAGGATTATGTTGCATAAGATGGCCAGCTCTGTAAATCTTTTAATTAAATCATCAAAACTTTGTTCTTTTTCCAAGCTCTCTGCATCCATAGGCTATTATAGGGAAAACCATTGGCTATATCATTTGATCTTTGTAGGTAAAGATAGTAGAATAGAAATTGGATTGGATTGTAGAATAGAATAGAATAGAATAGAATAGAATAGAATAGAATAGAATAGAATAGAATAGAATAGAATAGAATAG